TAACGAAAAGTGTTCAGGTGAGAACCATAAGAAACAAAAGGTAAAATTAAGGATTGGCTGTAAGCCTATGTGACGAGGGCGGCGGGCAATGCCCTCAGTCTTCCTCATTATACCCGCCACCTCAGGTCAGTGTCCTAGCGGGCTATATCCCGCCCTATAATTAAGGTTGATAAATAAAAGTTGTAGCTTTGCGGATATATAAGTGTAATAGGAATGTGTTAAGGGGTGGGATAACCGCCCGTCAGGCATTATTACTCAGTCTTCCTCGTTCTACCTCCCCTCAGGTTCCATGCGGCCGGAGTGCCGCCACCCGGCAGCCTCCTTTGAGCGTCACAACAGGTGGGGACTTCTCGCTATGTCAATCCTGTGAACCTGTGGATTTCAGCGCACCCTCCAAATCAATAGTCACAAATAAGGAGCGTGGAAACTCTGCGGTCGTCACCAGAAATAGTGCTGGTATGTCTCTAGGTGAAGCCTCGTCTTTACCCACCAGGAATTTCTGCCTATTGTATATTTAAAGTCCACAAGGCCCCATACTTGCAGGTATGGAGTGTAACAGGTGTGTTGAGATGGTGCTATATGCATGATAACCGACGGTGCTAGATTCCACACAGGGGAGCAGTCTGATGTGTTAAGGAGTATTGAAGAAGGAACGACCAGGTGGTCCAGATTGTTATGCAATAAGTAGGTGGATGACACGCCATCAATGTAAGAGTCTGGGCCATTTGGGTAACCTTTTTCGTTGTTCTTCAGGGAAAATCATTTAAGACATGTTATGGTTTCACCCTTCTTTCCCCTTATCGATCTGGTCAATGGAAAACCTAACCCAATGCCTAGTCCACTCTGCACGCTACCTAACGAGCTACATGCTGTCCAGAGGGGGTCTGGTGGCAGCGACCCTTAAAAATTAAGATTAGAGTTAAATTATCCCCTTAGACTTAGTGACCCCAGAATCTGGCAGTATACTTGGCTAAGGAGACAGCTCTATAGTCCACACGATAATTATTTCCCCAGTTTTCTAAGCTCTGATCATGTGGTAACAATCACCTAAAAGGCTCTTATAATGTGTTTTCTTTTTTGTTCAGGGAAACTACACACGGACGCATACCACCTGCTGAGCCACAAGGCGTTAGCGTCGCTACAGTGGGTGTTGAAACACTGTCCACACGTCCCCTGGACTCTCCATGCTGATGACGACATCCTTATCGACACTTTCTTCCTCAATAAATTTCTCAAACACAACGCCACCACAGACAGTTTCATCTGTTACAACTGGAAAAACGCAATAGTCAGACGGGATGGTCGATGGTGCGTGCGGTCATAGGAATTTCCCGATCTCAACTACCCTTCCTACTGTGCTGGAGGGGCGTGGGTTATTGCTACACATCTTGGGTCACGTCTTCTCCACGCTGCAAAGACCGCCCGGTTCCTCTGGGTCGACGATGTTTATATTACCGGTGTCTTAGCCCAACCCGCCGGTATCGGACGCTCTATGAAACATAACAAATACTTCAGATTAGAGGGCATCGACGAAAAGGATTTTGGGAACAGAGTAATTTGGTTTAATTTCAACAACCTTAGGATGACGTGGTGGTTGAAGCTCCTCAGTTATTACAAGCATGTTTCGCCGGCGTATCGTAATTTATCCCTTTAAAGGGCAGTGCCTCACTTAGGTATTTTATACTGTCTTAACACCAGACGACTTTGTTCTGCAGAGAGAAGCCCCTGCCCCTCAATGGGTTAAGTTTTTGTATTAGAAAAAAAAAAGGTTAGTTGGTGTTTCAGTGGCAAAAATAGCTACCCTATGAAATATCCTTCAAATTAATAGATGCCATATTTCAGGGAAGCAGCAAAACATAAGAGTATTCCAGTATTGGTAGTTCTCACCCGGGTTGGGAAGAGAAAGATGAGCTTAAATATTTCTTCAGTCGAACCTCTGGCAGTGTAGAAAATATCCCGAGACGTGGTTGTGATTATTTATGGCATTTGTGTGTATGTATGTCACTTAACTTGTGTGTGATATTAATCCTATATCAGTAATGCAAGACTGAAATAATCACACAAAACTTTAACTCCTGCCAATCTTCTAAATTTCTCAAACATGAGATTTAAACTATTTTAGAGTCAAAAGACAAGTTTTCTTTCAGCTAATTATGTAACGACACTTCCAGTCATCATTCCAACATTTATCTGAAACATTTCCTAACAGAACGCTTTCGTGTTTTGTAATCAGAGCATCTGCTTCATGATATAGTCGGTTCACTCGAAGTTTGCAATTAAGGCCTAGGGTTACTTTGTAACAAGGCAGCTGATTGGGCTGATTGGTTAGAGGACGGGCATCCGAGGAATCACTACAGATTTTTACTATTTAATTTATCGTGCTTATAATCTGCTAGCCTAAGAGATAAGCAAAAATAACGTGTGAAACACACTGGTAATAAAAATATCATAAAGAGGACACGAACATCAGGAACAAATTCTGTACCTGAAAAGTTGTACTCCTTTTCTTGTCCTCTTCAAGATATTTATAATATCACACCGTTTCACTTACTAATTTTTGCTCCTGCAATTGTGGAAATTATCAGAGGTCAACATAGAAAGGTTATTATATCTTAAAATATTAGAAAATAAGTGCGATAGATGAAATAGTAAAGAACTGTAGTGATTCTTCCGGTGTCCGTACGCCAACCAATCAGCTGACTTGCTACAAACTGACCTTAGGCCTCAGTTGAAAACTTCGAGCGAACAGACTACAGTTATAATTCATCCTTCGGTCAACACTACTTTTTTTAAATATACGAAAGGCAAGAATTTGTGTTGTTTTTTCGATGCTTAATGAAAATAAATTAATAACATTTATCGCTCCCCTCACCTGCAGTCTGATACTTTACACACTTGTACACTGACACCTCCCCCCACAAGTGTCCCGGAACAAGACTTTCTTTATACCCTGTACATTGATGCTTTCCAACACTTTCCAAACTTATCCAAACTTACGTATGCACCTTAACTTCCCACGTTCATACATTGAGTCACTCGCACCTGTACTGTATACCAATATTTTCCACGCTTGTATACTTACTGCACATCACCCATGCTGGAACACACGCACGTTCCTACTTAGCTACTTCCGAATATTGCTTTCCTCTTTCCTCTTTTCTATCCACATATCCCACACCTGTCCACTGATACTTAAGGTACCTGTTCACCGATACTTACCACACCTGTTCACTAATGCTCTCTACACCTGTTGACTGAAACTTCCCGGCGGGAATTATCAGAGAACACGTGCGAGAACTTCTCGCACGTGTTCTCTGTTACTTCCCACGCAGACACTTACAGTATTATAACCTAACCGAACTTGATCTGACATAACCTAACCTAACCTAACACTTTGTGGCTATTAGGAAAAACCTACGACGCGAAATTTAACCGTTTATTATTTCGTTGTGTCAACAATGCGCTGTGGTCCTTTTTTTTCGCTCACTGAGTGAATTAATTGTTTGAACCTAACATTATATAAGTAACTTCAGATGACGTAAGAAAAAAACAGCTTGATAAATATTAACAGAACAATACCTTGTTGTAGTAAGAGGAGCCCCACTTTGTATGTGTTTGTGTGAGCGACTTGGTAGCCTATAACTACCTGTACCGATCAGCTTGCCTTGTTGACACCGGTTGCCTGGTGACGCCCTGGCAACCGGTGTACGCCAACCACAACATACGCACAACACAGGTCGAGTTCGACCCCCCCCCCCCACACACACACTCACGATAACAAAGAGACAACATTACTATTCCTACTACATTACTATATATATATATCATTGTGGAAAAAAACCATTATGAAAACAAATACAATGATACCCTATGATCAAACCCAAACTAAAACATATATTGAATGCTGCAGGTTACCGGTAAAGTGTGAATTCCAAGCTCTGCATAAAGTGCCTAGGCATTCTAAATAATACCAGGCTTGTCTTAGGCAATGTGTGAAACGAGACCTGTTTATACATGTTTATTCCCTTTAACTAACCTAACCGAACCTAACCTAAGGTTAGGTCAGGTTAGATTACGTTACGTTACGTTACGTTACGGGAATAAACGTGTAAAAACAGGTCTCGTTTCACACATTGATTTTGCAAATAAACAGCAATGCATATTGACATTTGTCCTATTAATGCTTTGCCTAAGTCTATTTACGCATTTCATATAATCTCTAGTCACCTAGGCATTGTATAGAATGCCTAGGCATTTCGTACAATGCCTGATTTTTACACTTTACCGGTAACACACACACACACACCTTCCTTTGTTTATCAATGATGCTCCGAGATGCCCTGTTGGTCTAGCCTAGGCCTGCGAGGTACCCAGTTACCGTGTGTTACCACGAGGAGGCACAGCAGGAGTCTTGATAGTGAGGAGGCTGTGTACTGGCAGGGGAAAACTTATGCAAGTTTCTTCCCTGTTCGCCACGAGGGCTAGGCAGCGGCGGTAGCGTTACACGACCCTGTACACATGCACACACACACTAAATACCTTCTTTCATTAAGTAATTATTTGACTCTTAATACTTACTATATGTAAACGCCATCCTATACAGCCAATTGTACTTTATTTTTCATAATTAAGGCAGATTGAAGTGTGTGTGAGATAATTTTTAATACATACATTAGTGTATGCGTGCTTTAGTGTAAATGTCTCCTGTAAGTAAATAAAACTCCTCTTTTTAATATTGACTTCACATAACACCATCATCAGAACACTGTTTACTGACTGTCAACAGTTGGGTCATTGTTTACAATCATCATCTGACCTACTCCATCGACTGTTCTTTTGTGACCGAATATATCCTGTTCACAACACTGAGGCTCGGTCCCTTACTCAAACACAAATCGATACCATTACAAAATTGAAGAGAGGCTGGGTAGCTTAAATGTCAATACCACACATATATACAATAGTCCGTATATAGGTCAGTCGTCCTCACAGGTGATCATTACCACCCCCCACCTCAGCTAAGATCAATACTCAACACTTAACAGTACCACGTGTCCCACTCTAATGCATGCAGTGTGAGTCAGGCAGCTTTTGTGTTCCCGCTGACAGGCTGGCCACTGGCAGTAAAATAACGACCAGTTCCGAGCTTTATTGTGCCAGTAAACTCCACATTTCAGCGATACACACACACACACCAAGAGACCCATTCCCCAATTACGTAATTGTATATTTTCAGCCTTCCAGCTGCCATACTCTTTCAATAAACCGTTAATTATAATTATTATTACACTCACACAAACACATACCCCCCCCCCACACACACACATGCACACCAATCACACCAACACATACCCCCCCCCACACACACACACCAACCACACCAACACATACACATACACACAGAAATACATGCACTCACACAAACACATACCCCCCCTCACACACACACATGTATGAGGGCTTGAGCTGCCACCATTTATGAGGGCTTGAGCTGCCACCATTTATGAGGGCTGCTACTGCCACCCTTCATGAGGGCCTGTGTGCCAGTAACAATTCCTTTTACTTTTATATATCACCATTGGTAGCGTGACGATAGGAGGCTCGTGGGTAGGTGTAATGATAGTATCAAGCAATAGGGAAGAAATAACGGTAAATACTGTAGGTAAATAATATACACAATTATACAAATACAAAGTTTATTTAAACATGAATATGAAATTAGAAGAAAGAATTGGTTTGTACTAACAGACGAAATCTATTACTAGGCCCTCAGGCTCAACATACTCACACCATTACTGGGTGGACATATTCAATACCCTTCCAACCCTACGGGGTGGACATACTCAATAACACAACTATGATAGTCACTTAGCACCATAAATACTAGGCAACTGCCACTACAACACTCAGTCGTCAGGAGTGATACTCAAGCAACAGCCATGGGGTCCAGCCACCATGGAGTACTATCCGACGAACTCTGGAGATCCCAGTGGGTTAATTCCACCACACAAATATAGCCCTACTGAGTTAGACACTCATCCACCAATGATGGGGGCTGGTAGTGGTGTGTGGCTTGGTGGTCCGGGTCACCTCGTGGACCGAGCGTTAGGGCCAGACGAGCCAGCTATGGGGGCTATAGGTGGTCTGAAGTGTCTGACGGCCGGGTCTCACGAAGGTAACTGATCCTACTGGACCTCGGACATGTCCCCAGACATAGTGGATACAACATCCACCCTACAGACACTGCCTAGGCTGCGTTAGGGACCTGTATGGATGAAGGGACGGGCACTTACTAACCGGTGACAACAACAACACGTTTCAGGGGACGTTAAAGACGTAAATATGACTTTACTCAGAGCATATCAACTACGTTACTGTAACCCTTGCACAATCAACTATCAATTGGGTCAAATCACTTAAAGAAGGGCAAATTACAACACAGCGTGGAATGGCATACCTGTATGGATGAAGGGACGGGCACTTACTAACGGTTAAAATGCCCGCGTGCCCTCACTCAAACCAGACCAGGGAGTCCAGCTACTCCTATTCCAATGAATTAATTTACGGTACCCTCTGACGTTGAAATTGAGACTATGAACTCATTTTCATTCTCTACTATTATCTTCACTAACAATGCTCTGACTCAGCTATCGAAAGCAGAATTAAATTGATTACAAAGGAATGGATGGCAACAGGTCCCAGCATACAGCGTCTGCTCCCATAGACAAAGGCGGGGGAAACAGAGAAAACGGGGGACGTTTCCACTGGGGGACTCGGAAGGTTTTGTGGACGTTTGAGCGTAATATGAATCCTTAAGGTTTTCAGGTTAGCTCTTATCATGACCATTACACATGTACACCAATCACACCAACACATACCTTCCCACACACAAACACACATACACACCAACACATACACACACAAATACATACTCTCTCACACACACATACCCCCCACACACACACACATGCACACCAACACATACACACACAAATACATACACTCACACACACACATACCCCCCCCACACACACAAAAGGTATACAGTAATTATATCCTTATACTTTCGAATATTACATCACAAATATCTTTATACTAGTCTTACTGTTGCGTGTCAAGTAAAATACGCAGGAGGCAATATTTTGTACTTTAACGGTTCATTGCCGTCGTTGTCTGAAACTTTCGGTCATGGGGACAGGTTTTCATGCGTCATGCTATCAATCGACGAAATTTAAAGGGCTACTAATAATTAAGAAGTGACACTGATCCCAAATTGGTATGCATTATTTGACCTCATTTTGTCTGAATTTTTAATCTGATATAATAAACAGATCTTCATATGTAAAGTTTTGAACTTAACTTTTTCGTACAAACCATTCGATTTGTGGGGTACGAGATATTGGTTCACACTCAGGATGGGATGGAGAAAGGAAACTCACAATGTGCTCTCTGTATACATATTGTATTGGATGTACAAAGCAGCTTGGTGCTGGGGGGTGGCTGCGTGAGTCCAAGCGTGGTGTAGAGAGAGTTGGTTGGTGAGGGTGCTCAGAGGAGGACACGCGCCTTGCGGGTCGGCGTGGTCGCCGGCGGGAGAAAGGGCCACCAGGCAGGAGCGGAGGAGGAGGTGTTGCTTGCTGGTGGCTGTGCATAGAAAGAGGTAGGTTACCACGAGGTGAGGTCTTATATAGCGGAGGTAGGCGTGGCTTGATAGTTGACCTCAGTCATGTAAGGCGGCGCTGGTTGCTGACCTTGACCACAAGGCGCAGGCTGGTGAATTCGAGGGTCGGCTAGTCGGTCGGTGTTTGTGTGTGTGTGTGTGTGTCCGCACGAGAATCTCGTAAACTACTTTACCGATCTGTAGTGATGATGGATGGTGTTATATGTAGTGATGATGGATGGTGTTATATGTAGTGATGATGAATGATGCTATATGTAGTGATGATGAATGATGTTATATGTAGTGATGATGGATGGTGTTATATATAGTGATGATGGATGATGTTATATGTAGCGATGATGGATGTTGTTATATGTAGTGATAATGGGTGGTGTTATATGTAGTGATGATGGATGGTGTTATATGTAGTGATGATGGATGGTGTTATATGTAGTAATGATGGATGGTGTTATATGTAGTGATGATTAGACAATAAAATAATAACAGTTTAAGGCGGGAAAATAGGCGGACGTTCTGGAACGTCACCCGGGGCCTAAGGGTTAATCTTACCCATTTTTTTTAAAGCATGTACTTTTTTGGTGTGTGTATTTCTGGTGACCAGAGCACCTCAGTCTGAAAAAGTGAATTTCGATATATTAAAGTTTGATTTATCAAGGTTTTACTGTATTCATTATTTTATGAGTGAAAAGTGTTTAAAGTTTCTATGCAACATGATAATGAATGCTCAGGAATTTGCTCAAGACAAAAGCAGGAAAAGAAAGACCTGTAAAATATAACATAAGCTGTAGAAATAAGACAATACTGTATAGAATCAATCTTTGAAAGATGGTTTGGGTTTAAGAATAATAGAGTTATCAATAAATACAGTGTGTATGTGTTTTTGTTAACCTTGTCATTGTACACCTCCAGTGGGAAATAGTTGTATAAAATATATTGTGTTTATTCATATATCTTTATTATTTAGCCCCTGACAAAAAGGGTAAAAGGTTCATCAAGCCTCACACTATAAAACCATGATTGAAAAAATTGAATCATACATATCTGTCAGAGAAGCAGACAGGATATGAAAGTTATACCAGAGGAAGAAAGTACCTTGCAGTACAAATTGCTTGTGTGTGACATGTTGCTAAAAAGGATCAGGGAAAGGATGAAAGTGTATGTTCCAAGAAGGAGAATGCAGAAATTGAAGGAATAGAATGTAAAGAATGTTGAGCTGAGAAGAGTATAAAATGGCAAGCGATAGTATGAGAGGCAGTGTAGAAAATTGCTGGGCCACATTGAAGTAGGGTTTGTTTAGTGCAGCTGATAAAATGCGTGGCTTGATGAAGGTCCCAGCCCGGTATGCATGATCTGTTTTGTTACACACTGGGCATGTATGGGCTCTTGGTGTCCCTGAATATGTTCAAAGTTGGTCTTAAATGAGCTGTCATTTGCAGCTGCCACAATACTCTGGCAGGTTACTCCATAAATTCACAACTCCAAAGAAGGTGACAGTTTTTGGTACTGTACTGATAACTCCCCAATAGAGGTTACAGCCTAAAGTTAAAGATGTCACAATTATGGAAAATTGTCAGAGTGAACATCTTTGGAATAAGAGTTGTGATCTGTTGTAATACATGTACTGTAAACAGCCAGTGAATAATGAGACATCGAGAGTTGTAAAATTATGTAATAACCTGCTAAAGAATGTTGTGACAGTAGAAGTTGTGAACTGTTGTAAAAGCCTGCCAGAGAACGTTATGACAGAAAAATTTTTGAACTTTTAGAATAGCCTACCAGAAAGTGCGGTGACAGAACTGAGTGTGTTCTCATTGAAGGACAGGCTTGATCAACACATTTTAGAGCCTGTGCGTACCCAGTACTTGCCAAAAGTGCATAACAGACATATGACTGACTGCCTAAGTGGCTAACAAGCCAATCAGTGATGAAGAGGATATGGATATGGACTGATACAAAGCGGCAGTTTAGAAGCAACAAAACCAATGCAGGGACTAGGCCCAGGATTGAGAGGGAATGGGAGAAGAAAGTAACTGACAAATGGGAGTATGGAAAAGCTGCTAGTAACTTTGGAATAGTAGTAAAAATGTTGAAATCCTCAGATATTATTGACATGACAATGGTGACTAAATTGACAATTGCAATTACGATGAAATGCATTATTCCAGCTGCCTGGCTAAAAAGCATGACTATGAATAGTTAGAAAAGGAAAATGTGATGCACTTGATCACAGAAACCACAGAGACCTAAAACTGTTAGTCCAGATTATAGGGTTGCGGAAAAAGCGATCGAGATATTGATAAGGGAGAGAGAGGGAGATAATGGAATGCTGTTATAGTTCAAGCCAAGTAAGAGGACTACAGAGGCAATATTTATGGCCAGGTAATTACAAGAAAAACATCTAGGGTAGGAGAATATATTGTACTTTATATTTGTAGACCTTGAGAAGACATTTGACAGGGTACCACATGAAGTAGTGCAGTAGGCAATGATAAATTTAGGGGTCAAGGAGTGTCTTGTTGGAGTGGTTATGGCACGATATGAGTAAATGTAGAAGAAAGTGGGTATTTGAGGTGAAATTAGGGGGTTTATTTTGAATTCCCTTCTGTTTACCATGGTGTCAGATGTAATGAAGTCAGAACATGAGAACGAATGTTACAAAAAAAAAAAAAATAATAATTAGTGGCAAGGATGAAGGATCTGTGGTGGAAAGGAAAAATGGCTTTGTATTGTCTGTATGCAGGGTGTTCGCAGTAATTCATTTATGTGCAGTGAGTGTGGAACGTGGGTACACAAGAGGTGCAATGGTGTAAATGGAAGACTGCAGAATGTTGCTGGCTTCAACTGTGCTGTATATGCATGATATTGGGGATATATCCTTGGAGTGTGTCAATGTGTTCTGCTACTTAGATGACATAATGAGTGCTAGAGGTGGTGCAGGAGATATAAAAAGCTGGAAGAAATTTAGGGAGATTTTGCCTTTAACTCCTTGAGTATAGGTTCCCCTCTGAGCTAAATAAATTCATCTGGCATTACCCAAATAAAATATTAAAAGTGACATCCTCATAGTGAAGGAGTTAATAACAGCAAGAGGACCTTCTCATCATATGAAAGAAAAGTTGTTTGTAACTGGCATGAGAATTTGAATGTGTCACGTTGTATGACAATGAAACATAGCACTCAAAGACAATGACATGTTGCCTTTAGTGAATTGAATTGAAAATAGTGAGATGGATGTACTTGTACAACATGATGCTGAGATAGAAAATCCTGTTCAAAGCTAAGAGAACAGCTGGGTATTGAGAGCATTGACAAGGTTTTGCACAGAGGCAGGCAGAGAGTGTTTGGATATATGGAGAAAACTGAGACCAATTGGAATACAGTACAGTACTTCATAGTTTTTTCAAGGGAGTAAATGTTTAAATATGGCTTGAAAATTTTAATTAGAATAAAAAAAATACCCCAAAGTCCAAGGGTTGTTGGCAGGTATCTGCTTCTTATGTCTGAAAACCAGTTTGGGGGTAATTTCAGGTCCCAGGTACAAATTCCAGGCATTCTACCTACACATTACATTACTGGTACCTTTGATATCATAAGTTAACAAAATGTTGTTAAAAACTATTTGTTAATATTTGTTAACAGTTAGGGTAGTTACACATACAATCATAACCAACATGTCTTTCATTTGTTAAACTATAGTGTATATAAATACAGTATATTGTATGCTAAGATTTTGAAGGTGATAACATACTGGTAGTTACAAAAACAGAATTCCATCCTCCGGCATAAATTTTGGTCACACCCCTCCTGAACACCTCAGTGGGTTCCTCAACACCGTCAGTATGTCCAAGACCAAGTTGCCCATACCTGAAATTAATATTACTGTTTTAGTATTCATCTTCTGTGTCACATTATGTATACACATGCCAATAGACAATACTACTAATTGATGAAGAAATGCAGAAGGTAAATAGCTCTGTATCTTAGGAGCTAAGACTGCATGACAGAATTAATATAATTTGCAATAAGGAAGGTAGTATGGCTGATAGTATCAGTTTGACAATATTGATGCTTTAACACCTGTCAATAACATCATTGATTCTAAAAGAAGAAAAAATGTTCACAGTGAACATAGGACATATTTGCACAAAGGTGTTTCACACAAAAACGAAAATGAAAATAATTCATGGTAAGGTGTTCTATCAAAATCATTGTACCAAATAACATTATACTATTGGGGGTCTACTGTAATTTACATAGGATGGCCTAATTTAACCTAACATACCTAGATATCCAATATTACATCAGCTGGTTGATGAGAAACCTTTGGAAGAAGAAATCATCCACAAACCTCTAATAATTTACAGTAAACATGAAGACCAGTGCCAGCTTATCCTACCTTTAGTTAAATATTTTCACTTATGTTTTGAGCATTTTTCATTTTTTTCATGTCCTTAACCTACTGGTACTCCCGGCCATGAGCGGAAATCTCACCCCATCATAGTCTTTCGACACAGGATGCGTCAGTAACAGGAATGGTTTTTCCATTTTAATAAACAGGTGGAGCGATCCAGACCCAAATGGCACCCTTTTGTTGAGACAAATGAGAGGAGCTTAGGCAGTTGATAGGGCTGGTCCACTGTTCCTACATTTCTGCTTACAGAAGTGCTCTCAGTGTGAGATATGGCGGAGTGGGAGGGGTTGCACCAGCACAGGAGTGCTTGGCGACGCTATTTGCGTCAAAAGACCACAAGAGGGATAACAAATAGCATACACTATTTTGGTACCTAAAAACACTATTAAAATATACACTGGCCATTAATACAGTAGACAAATGAATAAAAAAGAACTTAAGAGAAATAATAAATCAATGAAATAAAAAAATTGCTTGAAAGTAAACTAAGTAAAGTGGCTCAGTGTATCTTAGAGTACCCAAGTGACCCACACCCACACTATACAGTAGTTTGTTCACACTCGGTCCCATCCAGCAATATGAAGTATGATTTTATGATTGGATAATATGCCAGTATCCTCTGTGGAAGCAAATTTTAGTCAATCTACAGCCCTTCATTAATTGTTTTCTAATTGGCCAATCACAAGCCAAGACAGGAGAAAGAGGACAGGGTTATTTGACATTTCCATAATGAACAGACTACAGTACAGTATATTGAAGATGGTTGGTAACACTTGTATGGTTTTTGGGAGAGTGTATTATCCATAACTCTATTCCTGTAATCATTTAAGGTAATCAGAAAGATGCTCAATGCCACTTTATCCTTTCTTTTGTTAAATAGTTTAACCAACATTTTGAAGTTTCTTTTATTTTTTGTTATTAATTTTTTTTTGAAAAAAGCAAACTGGCAGTTTCTGGTAAGCTTAACACTGATTGGAATTGGAATTGAAATGACCTAACAGTAATCCATTTTGAGAAGTATCTATTAGTGGACTTGTCACTTACTTGTTCATGCCAACTGACCAGGCACTGCCATCATCTGCAAAATGACAATTCCATTATTAGAACTAATGTACTACGTATGTACTCAGTTTTAAATATGTAAGAGGATACATATTAGCAAAGCACAATTTTCTAACTACAGTACTGCAACTACATTGCAACAACAATAAACATAAGATTTCAAAACTTAATATTTTTCATATTTCATAATTAATTGCCACATTTAAATTATTAAAAACAAAGCTGCCATAATTTAGAGGAGGCAAATTATTTTAATTTCAAGGCAAGAAAATGACACACCTGACATCACATATTATCATCAACATGGCAGGTGAGAATTCTGGCTTAAAAGCTATTGGTAGGCAAGAATCTGGTGACTGTTATATGTGCACATGCCCCACAGGTTGGGGTAAGTGAGGAAGAGAAGAATAAATTCTGAGATGAGTTGATCCGAGTAGTGTCAGAGCTGGGTGAAAGGGAAATTGGGTGGTGACCTCAACAGCCAAGTTGCTGTACATAATGAAGGTGTGCATTATGTATAAGGGTTTGGCGCAAGAAATAAGGAAGGAGAAAGAATAATTGAGTTTGGGGATGCACTGAATATGGCTATGTGCAACACAGTGTTTAAGAAGAGGGTAAGTAGGCAGATCACATGAGTCAGGTGGTACAAATGCCCAGATTGAATACTGTACATATTATTCAGGAAGCTTGACAGGTATGTGAAGGTTATAGATGGGGAAGAATGTACAGTTGCCAGCAACAGTCCTCCCACAGCCACATTTACGAACTTGCTACACAGGGCTGTGGTAGAACCTTTGCTGGCAACTGTGCCTTACAGCACAGATTGTCTGTGTGTGATGTGCTACTTAAAAGGAGCAGGGAAAGGAAGAAGTTTAAAATAACAATATTCACCGATTGAGGACACAATACTAAACACGACAGCATGATGGGTGCACCTCTTGGTGAAGAGAACCCCCCACCCCTCCCTCTCCTTATGTCACAACATTTTGCCACACTGCCACTGACTAGCAGTATAGCAGGTTGAAGCCAAAGTCGTTCTATTTTATAACCAGTATTAAAACTATGACCATGCAAGAACTACTTGCATTCAGAGGTAGAGGTGGAGTGCATATTTAGCATTCATAGTCTAGCTAGTATTGCAAGGTTCCTTAGAGCCATTCTGGGAGTCTCCCCCTAACTCATGAGCACTTTTGAAGCATGCTTCAATACTACTGGTACTCTTTGGGTTTACACATCATGGAGAGAGAGGATTGGAAATGCTAACTGTAACTGTTATAAATGGAGGCAGCTGTGCATATCCAAATCATTAGTCATTCAGTGATAAGGCACAGTATGTGAAATACGTAGTGTTGCTAGGAGCCTAACATCATGTGTTATCCAGGGATCATGGCTACTGCTACCATACCATACCATATATGATTTATACTTGTTATTTCACAGAACCTTCAGAGGAACATTTTCAATTTTCAATGAGTGAATGCTAAGAGAATGTGTTATCATAATTATAATATTAATTTTCTTCCACATTAAAATGTACAAGCTGAAGGACATTAGTAAACTACCTACAGTACATTATGTAATTTAAAAAAATTGTTTCCACATAATTTAATTTAGGACAATCAATGCCTAACTGATAATCTATCATTGAGCCAGATGATCTACCTCTAGCACAACATAAACATCATACAGGTTATATCTTGATACTGTACAGGTATTTATCTGAATAGTCATTGGATCCTTTATAGTTTACATAAAATGCTTAGCACAAAGCTTTAAGTTTATCAAACTTTCAACCACACATTACTTACCTAATTGGAATAAAGTGTGTCTATCTCCACACTGGACATCCACTATTTTCACATTCTCACTCCAGAAGTCCAACAGTTTGGGAGATGCTTGAACATTTATTACATCTTTGATACAGTCTTGGTTCACTCTGTCATCTAAAAGCCTCAAGTTTTGTTCTTTTCTTGTCGTCTCAAATATTTTCTCTTCTTTTAATGAAACTTTATCATGCCCATTCCCTTTGTTTGTGGGTATGCATAGACACTGGCTAAGATATTCACTTTGGGGTTTTGTTTCCTTGTTACTCTGCTCTTTAGTATCAACGCTTATCTCTCTGCTCCTTATTGTAAGATTCTTGGGGCACTGACATACATGTTTAAATGACTCAAAGAGTGAATGCTTGAAATTAGATTTCACTGGAAAACCTAACTGGCCATTTTCATTCCAACCCCAAATGTAGACATCTCCACTATCACTTAGTGCTGTGAACAAGATAATGGAATTAGAAGAAATGATGATGCACTGATCATTAAATATATGGTGTCACTCATGCACTGTAAAACCTCCATAATGCATAATAAAGTATTATGGGCTTTACCCTTGCTGAAATAAGGCTAATGACAGATTACAGTACACCAATTCCCCCATTAATGTCCTTGTTAGTGTTCCTGAAAACCATAAGTTTAAGTGAAACGATGTTAAGTGAAAACGATTTTATCATAGAAACAATGATATAAATCGGGGTTATGTTCCTTGGGTACATTTCTGGTCAAAATATTATCACAACTTGCCACAAATGTTTCACTTTCAGTACTATCACCTTCTTCTTGTTTTAAAGTTTCAAATAAACTTCAGAGTTTTCACCTGTATGGAGAACAATGAACATGGAAAGTATAGTTGATGTTGATCCTCGAATCTTCCATATTTTCCATAATGCCACTTCTGTTATGAGTTAACTTTGTAGCAGATAATGGAGAAACACTTTTACCACATGATTGATATTTTTTGAATTTCCACAAGTTGTTCTTACCTACAATTGCAGACTGCAAACCGGCAGCTCATGCCATGTCCACAGCTCACTGTCCTTCTTCAAATCTTTTTACCACATCTAATTTAACTTCTTATGTAATACTTTTCTTTCTGTGACCACAACCAGTAGAGGCACGTAATGCACATTTAGCACTCATTGTTCTAGGGCTCAAATAAATCTATAATTGGATTTTAAGTGAATCTCGCAAGAGCTGTATTTATTTATGCAAACACCACTGTACACGTACATTATTGTTCATACTGTAAACAAAATAATGTATACTATACTATACTGTACTACTATACTGTATATACTGTCCAGTAAACCCTTGCTATTCACGGGGGTTAGGTTCCAAGGAATGGCGCAAATTGGCAACACCGCGAATAGCAACTTATACTGCCTTAGTGCACTACTGTATACCTATACTATGTATGAGAAACTTAAGTCACCAATACTACTCTCCTTCCTATGTGGAAGTTTGGAGCTTGATGAAAAGTACTGTACAGTAGGATGAAATCTGGTAACTGAAGATTAGGGAGATCATCGGGATCACTGTTGGAAGAGGGTGATGCAGTGGTGGTTGGTGGAGAGGCGGGTGGTGGAGCGTTGGCAGCAGCTGACTCAATAGGTGAAGGAGATGAATCAGTTTGGCGAGCGGCTGGTTCTTTCTTGAAAAACATCGTGATTGGTAGTTGTTTCCTCTTGACTTTGAGGTCTCTAAACGTTTTACTCCACTAGCATCACTAGCACTGACACTAGGCAGTCTTTTAGGAGCCATTTCACACAAAAACACTAAAGTTTTGAGTACAACACTAGAGATTCTGCGTCGCAAACAAAGTGAGAGGAGACGCTGTAGTGTGTGGGGGTGACTTGTTGCGCTGCGGGAGAAGCTCGTAAGCTAGCCACTATTTGCTTACCACAAATTGTCCAAATTGCGAATAACAACAGTTTACTGTATTCATTAGCAGACACTGTTCACTTGGCTTACTGTAATACTTAACTGTAATCACGTCTTAACACTTGCGATGGAGGTTGGGTGGGAGGTTAGTGGGTCATGTTACTGACCTGACCTGATACATGGATTATGGATATTTAGTACAGTTATACCCTTTAATACAGCCTTAAGACCTGGCTCACTTTTCTCCTCTTAGGTAATGTTTGTTCTATCTGGAATTCTCTTCAAAATAATCCAGTCTCATCCACATTAAACACCTGTTCTGACAGGTAACCCTCCTCAGTGATGATGTTTGTATCTCTGAAAGTTTGTAAGTTGAACGTTCGTAAGTAGAGGAGCACCTGTATATAGAACTGCAGTACTAAGTTTGTATTGGTACTCACCGATGGGTGGAGGTGATAGAGTGAGTGTGTGGTGGGTAATGGAGCGAAGGAGGAGGATGGCGGGAGCGGAGGAGTATGGCGGGAGCGGAGGAGCAAGGTGGGAGCGGAGGAAGGTGGCGAGTCACTGAGACTGTGGCTGCCTCCTCCTCCTCCTCCTCCTCCTGCTCTGACTGGGGTCCCTCCGCCGCTGCTTGCTCCTCCTCTTCCGTTGATGTTTGCTCCTCCTCTGTTGTTGGCGGGAATGTCTTGGCAGCAACCATATCTGAACTGGCAGCTTCACCAGTCATCTTTATGTTGAAACCAGCCTCGGCTGGTCGTAAAGGTCTTCCTTCGATCCTTCACCCTCTGTTTCCTTCATGCCGTCAAACAAGAATCGGGCCTTATGCTGGATAACCATAAGGCTCACAGGGGTATTGTATTGATTCTGGTCCTCCATCCACATTATCAGCATCTATTCCACCTTCTCTATCACAGTGCTTCTAGTACGAGTCATCTTAGTAGCACTCAGAGAAGAACCACTTCCAGCACTAACCTTAATTTTGTCAGCGTTGGTCCGGATAGTACGCATCGTTGTGGGGGTTAGACCAAGCACAGCGGCTATGCCCACAGCACGTTCCCCTTTTTCAAATCGGGTTAATACATCCATTTTCGTAGCAAGGGTAATGGTCTTACGCTGCCTCTTCACTACACTAGCATCAGTAGCATTTGATGGGTGCTTGGAAGCCATTTCAAATGGTAAGAGTACAGTTTTAGAGCAAAAGCACTTAAGCACACACGAATGATGTGAAGTCGTAACAGAGACTGGCTTGGCATTGCTTGAGGACGCTGTGACGTTCCGCGAGTGAGGGCAGCGCGCCGAGCCGAGAGAAGGTAGCTCGACCAGACAAGAGCGGGTGATGCGCCGTAGAAAGTAGTCCGTGACGACCCAAAACGACGTAGTATTGGATCACCGTGACATTAAACAGACTTTTGGTCTCTAAAGTTCAGCGACGTAGTACCGAAACAACGTTAAGCAGGACGATGTTAAGCGAGGACTTACTGTATATGCAAATAGCAACTGTGTTAAACTTTCATTTGGCTTTTATTAATTGGTTTGGTAATACACTACAGTATTTTCCATTTTAACTTATTTATTGGTATTTTTATTTATTTCTCACATTTACTGGTGCTGTATATATTGTTTTAAGAAAACTGTGGCTACAGGAGGAAAATACATACCAAAGTTTTTTCTTATATATTCCCTGCTAATATGTGGGGTGCGTCTTATATGGCTGTGCGTCTTATATACCGCAGAATATGGTATAACGAAACGACGCTGACTGAAACGACGTTAATGGGGGAATTCGTGTATAGTAGTAGTCCCTCACCAACCGCAGGGGTTAGGTTCCTAAAAGCATCTGCATTGTTAAATGAGGTATACCTGTACTGGTCATTCTGATAATGATATACCACTTAAAGAACCAGCATGACTGCAGTAAACCCTTTAGCATTTACACAGTGGTTAAGTTCTTGAAAAAGACAGTACAAAGTAAATCCATATATGAAAATACCTTGGGTTGAGCTGTGTACATTGTGAGTGAGTCTATACTGTCAATAAAGAAAAATGGTCATAAATATTTGACCTTGTAAAAGTGAAACTTCAAAAAATGCCATGTAATGTGGTACTGTACAATAAGGGTTCACTGTATACAGTACATAAAGAAATCAAAGGTGGGTTTTGGCTTTCTACTTATTTCTATCAGCTTTAGGCTGTTTTGTTTTTTCACTTCCTTTCGAGGGTTATTGGACCTTGCTTTAACTCATAAAACTTTGAAAAGAATAAGGTTTATAAAAGGAAAGATAAAAATTCATTCATACTAGCTGCAATGATAGGAGATGCTCACCAACAGAATGCCAGCCTCCACAACTAATGGATGAAATGATGATGCCCTGAAGGCTCTCCACTGGCAAAGGCTTCTCCTTCTGGCACAACTCACCATCCCCTAATTGTCCTCTCCTGAAAATCATGCCAAGTATTTACCTGGATATTAAAATAAAAATAATATTGAGTGGGACATGTGAATGATAATCAATAATTATGCCCCAGTTTTTCTTCCTGTGTAAACAAAATTTAATAAATGAGACTAATGGCTAAGTAAAAGGCCAGATTAAATGAGCATGTACTTAGCTGAGCAATAAATGTCTTTAATCTGTTTAATTAAATATGTTTTCAAAGGTTTAATATCAAATGGAGACAAAAATCAGCTGATGAAAACCTAACTAGCTAGCAACATTAGCAGAGTAAATCACACAAGATTTTCGACGCCCTGAGTCCTATTTCTTTAGCACTCACCCTGAGTATGAATAAATGCAGTCCAGGAATTAACTGTTGAAACTCAATGTGAAGTAGGGTTTGTTAAAAAGGGTTGGAAGTTATGGAATTAGTGTTGAAGTGATAAAAAGTTGTGTCTTGGGGAATTTTTTGGTTTATGTTTTGGGGCTGGGGTCTTATACCTTATATTTCCCAATGAAGTACATAGACTGATTTAACATGATTCAATTTTGTATGACATGTTAAATCAGGGGTCTACTATTTAGCTTGAGAAGGGGACAGAATTATTGCAAAATAATGTATCGAGACGACTACTGTAATATACAGGATTAATAATGATCAGCTAAGTTGGTAGGCTACACTATGTTAAATACTTCCTTGTAATAATGAGTCCTGTGTAAAATTTGTTGATTATTGTATAGTACTATTGTACATATTTGGAAATGAGCTAAAAATTACATAGTGTATAGACATTATACATTGACAAAAGTTGTCACTATTCTAAAATAAAATTGTTGATATAGAACAAACATACCATACATAAAAGTTAATCTATCATACAGAATCATTCTCTTCTAAAATTGCAAAGAAAATTAATATGACCACAGTACATTACAGTGCTTTACATACATTCCACTGCCCCAGGTAAGGATGTCTCCATCTGCTGTTAGTGCCATGCAGTGCTCCTTGCCTACTGCAACCTCAGTAATTTTCAGTCCAAGTGTTATGGGAACACTGCCACAGTAAACTACTCCATCTGTTGGAATACAACAAGTCTTACAATTCATATTCAACTTATTAAATCTAACACTGCCATAATCCATCTTCTACTACATTATAGTGACAATTTCTCACAGAAGGAAAGGTAAAAAAAAAAAAAAAAATGAAAAGGCTTAACAAAAAAAAACCTTGTAATTCAGGTAATATTACTGATCATATTTTTGCCACCTAATTTTTTTTTTTTTTCTGCCATCTAATTACAGGAAGCTCATGCCAACTGTGGATTTCCAATCCACAGATTCCAGGTATCCATGGTATTTACTCTGTATACCATTTCACTAACCACAGACATTGAATTTCAAGATGCTTAGTGTTAAAAACTCCTCTGGGGGTTTGCTGCCTTCGCCGTTTTGGGACGATGTGAAGTGAGAGCTTGGATCTGACAAGTCGATGATCAGTGTCACAGTGGTCTGAGCCACGCAAGGCTTGGGTGACGAGGACATCTCGGCGAACTCTTTCTCTGATAATGGTGTAGTCAATGAGATGCCAGTGTTTGAATCGTGGGTGTTGCCACGAACCCTTGAACTTGTTGGCCTGCCTAAATAAGGTATGGGTGATAGTGAGATTGTGTGCAGCACACTTGCTGAGAGGGGTAGGCTGTTGGGATTACACTTGCCTAGTCCATTTCTCCCTATGTTTCCCTGTCAAATGTCAGCATCTCTGCCAACTCTGGCATTAAAGTCACCTAGGAGCACAACCTTATCTTCTCTAGGGATTGAGATTAGCACTCTGATAAGGTAAGTGTAAAAGGCCTTCTTGATGTCATCCTCTGCATCCATTGTTGGGGCGTATGCACTGATGAGGAAGACATAACGTGAGTGATTCAGTGGGACTCTGAGCATCATGAGGCACTTGTCGATCCCAACAGGCATTCCAGTTAGCCTATGTAGGATACATTGGCAGATGGCAAAGCCAACTTCATAAATGCGGTTTCTCTCCGCAGCAGGCTTACCCTTCCAGAAGAAGGTATAGCCAGATCCCCGATCTGTGAGTTGACCCTCATCTGGGAGTTGGGTCTTACTAATGGCTGCTATGTCGATGTTATACCTAGCCAGCTCTTTTGCCACAAGGGCAGTTCTTTTTTCAGGATGCTCATTTGTGCCAGTATCCAGAACACTCCTGACATTCCATGCAGTGACAATAAAACGTTGCACAGTAAACCCTCGATAACTCGGCACATGTGGGGCTCTGGCCCTACCAAGTTATTCCAATTCCGACTTATCGAAGTACTTCCCCCTCCTACAAAAATACAGTTATAAAAAATTATCAACTCATATATGTGTACAAGTAATTACTTAATGTAAAAAAGTAACACTTACCAGCACTGCAGGCAAAGAAAAGCATCATAGTCGGTGACACAGAGGCATGATAGGTGATACAGGTGGCCAGATATGCCGAAATTTTCCCAGGTAATTTTATATATCTCAGCATTATCCGAGTTATACTAATACATTCCTCGACCATATCCATGCCGAGTTATATGAAATTCCGAGTTATCGAGGGTTTACTGTATACGTAGTTTGTTTTTGTTTTGATCTGTGATTATGTTTGTGTTTTCGACCGCATAAGGATGACCTTACTAGGTGCGGTTGCCCAGTCAGGTTCCTTTAGGTAGACTATATTTAGGGCACTTTTTCTGGCCCCCCTCCCCATGTGTGGTGAGCAGAGTGGCTCCTCGAAAAGGCTGCTCAGTCACACAGACAGGACCGGATTGCACTGCTGCCTAGATCCCAGTACATAAATGACAACCTTATCTGTGCCGCCATGTGCAGAATTGTGACTAAAGACTCCTGGCAGTCATCTCTGCCTGTCCCGGTAGCCACTCGTCTGTTGCCATAGGACTTTTGGGGGTATAAGGGTTTTAATGATGATGAGAGGTATGATGAGCTGGTTGATGGCTGCACTTGAGTTGATTTATGTGGTGAGGCAGGAGTGCAGGCTGCAACAACACACCTTGGCTCTCCCTTTTCCTGATCCAGTGGCACAAGTGATGCAATGACTGGGGAGAGGGAGAGTTACAATGGGCTGCCGATAGCCCAGTTTGTTGGGTTTCTCCTCAGTAGTCTGTCCATCATGCATTGCCTTCATTTGCTGGTGTAGTCGTTGGGTTCCATGGTGGTCACCTCTTCCGCCTTTTCCCGCCATTGGGGTCTTATTGGAGCTCTGTAAGCATGTCTTCCTGATGTGGGGCTCCATCGCAGATTTTTCGTTTGCGGTTTACTCCAGTAACTTTATACCTACCAAGGTTAATCCGCAAGGTAGCGGAGCAATGGTTGGTAGGCGCCAGGACGTGTCCACATGCCAGTGGGCCTATGCACCATTCCTCTGGGGCCCACTGCTGCTCCGAGATCCCCTGCTGGTCTAACCTGGGCCTACGAGGTACCCAGTTACCGCGAGCGTGTGTGAGAGAGAGAGTGAGGTGGAGCGGACAACTACGTCATCAACATGGCGGCAAACAAACGCTATCATTGATGCGCTCGGACGCTTCCCGCGAAATCTCAGTTATTCAAGAGAATCCACACGTTATTATCGAAAATGGGTAACTATTGTAACTTACCGTTATTGTCCAAAACATTATTGTGGAAGTCATGATTGGCGAGAGCCTACTGTACAGTACTGTATATAGATTCACCCGAGACTGGCACTAAAATTAGAATTTGCAGCAAATGGATAAAACTTTACCTTTCACTAAACAGGGTAGAGTTAAGTGTAGCAGCCAAAGGGTTAAGAGAAAAAATAGGAAATAAATTTGACTGAACATTAGCAGATAACTCAAAGAAAAAAATTCATGATTACCTTTATCAAGTGCAAGAAGGACATTATCTTCCACAGCTACTTGACAGAAAACTATTTGTGGAGTGTTTGTTTTGGGCACCTGGTGTTCACTCCCTTCTGGTTCTGAAGTGCTGTAGTCTGCATCACACAACTCATCCTGATTCTCACTTGCATCTACAAGTTTTGATTTCTTTTCAGAATGACTTCCTTGCATATCACTGAGCTCTTTCCTCTTCCAACTGTCACTAGAGTAAATTTCTTGCAAATCATTTTCTTCCACAGATGCTCTAGGCAATTTTATGTAATCTTCATTTTGAAATAAATTACAATCTAAACTACTACCATTATTTCGTGCCTCCCTTTCTCTTTGAAATTTTAAATACTTTTGAGTCTTGGTATGTGGGAGGCATGTGAAAGTAGTCCCAGCTTCCTCTTTAAAATCCTTCTGAAAATGCAAAGCCCTCCATCCTGTTTTCTCCCATACTGCGGCAGAACCATTATTACTGATTGCTGCTGTACGGTTCTCACTGATAAATACCTGTGGAAAATACATCCTGATAATAAACTTAAGCACCCTATGTATAAGTACAGTACAGGTTGACAACCCTTTATCCGAAATTCCAAAAACCGAAAAGCTCTGAAAACCGAAAGTTTTTTTTGGTGGAGCAATTTTTTTTTTTTTTTTTTTTTTTGTATTAGCCCACCTGGGCACAGGTCACTGACCCACATCGGGGCCTGGGGGGTGAAAATGTAATAGTAATAATAATGATAATACAGTAATAATAATAATTATTCATAGTAAATAAAAATTTTAATAAAAAATACACAAAAATAGAATAAGAATGATAACAATAATAATAATAATACTAATAACAATAATACTGTAATAATAAAATAATAATAATAATAATAAAGAAATACAAGAATGAAAAAAAAATCAAAAGTGAGAAACACGACCTAGACCTATGAATTATTATTATTATTATTATTATTATTATTATTATTATTATTATTATTATTATTATTATTATTATTATTATTATATTTTAGCCCCCAGGCCCCAATGTGGGTCAGTGACCTGTGCCCGGGTGGGCTGATCCCTGTAAAAAAAAAAAAAAAAACCTAACCATTCTGAAAACCGAAAAATTCCAAAAACCGAAATGCATCTGGTCCGAAGGATTTTGGATAAGGGATTGTCAACCTGTATATCATTTCCAATATTTTGGGCAGTCTTTTGGTTATGAGTGAAAAGAAACACCCAGTCCCTACATTTGTCAGGTAGGAATCTATTAAGTCTCAAAGCCTCAACTTCAGGTAAAGGTTACCTATCTCTATGACTGGTTTGCAAACATTACTTTCTTCCCCATCTTATCACAATGTTAACTAAACACAAGCCTTGATAAACAAAGCCATTGTACAGTACAACCATCTTATGAAATAAACGAATCCCATGCACAGACTTGGGGACACAATCCCAACTAGCTATAATCTAGACACTACTAATCAAACAAGAAGCTAGCCTTTAAGGATAACACCTCTTGTAGTGTCCCTGCTGACCTCTCTCTAGGATGTAGCTAGTTATCCAGATATACATTTATAAAAAAAAAAAAATCTGTAATAATTCCAAAAAGAATTTCAAAGAGCTTAGTGAAAACCCTAGTACTGTAGTTACCTTCAGTTCAAATGGGAGAAATGTAAACTGAAAAAACTATCCCCAAACTAAACAAGGCAAACATCCTAAAGCGCATCTGATGTTTGTTTACAAAATGTAATAAATACTTACAAAATTATTTTTTAATATATTTTTATTAATTTCCTAATCTAAACTATTATGAATTTATGTGTGACAATGACATGTATATAAAGACAGCTGTAGACTCTGTTAAATGATTCTGCTTGCTGAGAGACATTCAGAGAAATTTTTAATATACATCTTGAAGCAAAGTACAGTACAGAAAGATGTACTGTACATTATAATTTCCAACTTGTATGTGTTTGCATATTCTCATAATATGAGCGACCAGACAGACACAAACACACATGCACACAAAATAAGAGTTCAATAAAAATAAATTAACTAACTATAATAAAATTCATTATTCCAACTGTACAGTACTTGTAGTGGTATCTACGGGAACGCAACTTACTACCTGTACTGAATACATACATGACATGGAAGGTACTTGAACAATAAATTTATTTGTTATTGTTTTTTTTTCTTTATTTTATATAAATCTATTGATGTTATGTCTTTTTATAAATTATTTGAGTTATTTAGACAGTACAGTACATATTTAATCATTATAGCAGCTGGATATAAAATTTGTTTGGGCTCTTCAGTGTCTCAGGAACAGAACCTATTTTCCCCATAAGTTACTAATATCAATATACAACTGATCACTTAGTGATGGCTTATACAGCACTGAAACCTAACAATTACAATGTGGTTGATCTGATTGAAGGTAGAACTCAGTCTAGTAACACAGAACTCACAACTCATCGTGAACTGGTGACTGTTCTTCGAGAGTTCCCTTGAGGGACAGAGTTGTGATCTGTTACTAAATTCTTAATTAGTCCCAGTCCCTGATGTCTATCACTGATCCAAGTTTACAACGCAGGACTCGGTGTCAACCTTAGGGAATGATTAAAGGAAAAAAAAAATATGACGCCTCAGAGTTCTAATTCACAAGATACCTAGTGAAGGGCATACCCTGGTACATTAAATTGCTGTATTAAAAACTTTTTCAACACTAAGAATTATACCTTACCTTACTCCCTGGGTTTATAGTTAATATATTAGAGCCATCATGACACTTGTACCCAGTCCATGTCCAACCTGATTCTGAAAACATAAAACAGTAGTATAAAAGAATTACTCAAAATTGTGCACATGTTTAGTAAGTTTACTGTTTGTATGTCAAGTGAGAAATTAAAGGTGAGATATGATGCATCAGTACTACAGTACAGTAGTGAAGAGATAGAGCTGAATAACAGATAGTGTTATTAAGTAAGAATGAATGATTGGAGATTTGTTATAACTTGTAGGGTTTTATTTGGGGTGAATGAATGGTGTTATACAGTTTCAGTATTCTCAGGTGATTCAAGATAACTGGATGAATTAGCTGCTGTTTATGCCATCATCAATGTTTTACAGCCGTTTTCCACACTTGGGTGGGTTAGCCGTAACCACCTGATGGCAGCTCTGCATTTGATGTCAAACAAATTTTAAATCACAGTGCTGTGGAATCTTCAGTTCACTCATAGACTGTCCTTGGTCCAAATTTTTTTCTTCAGAATTTCAAACATTTCTTTTACACGAATAATTTACATTTCCTTTTAGCACTGCTAAACTCAGTTCTGTCCCCTTTGTGCTCAGCTGGGGGCAATGAGAAAGCAAAATGAACCAATATTACACAAGGAGCCAAAACTCCTTGAAGCCTGATGCTTGGACCAGCATCAGTCATAGATCAAGGCATCTGTGACTGCAGTGTTCGCACCGCGTAAATAAAGCAACAGGAATCTAGGATGATGTATGAACTCATCAGGGGGCGATGGAACCTTACGTTGAGGGCCTGTTTTATTTCTTTGGTGGATGATTTCCACTGTCTCCTGGTAGGGTGGCGTTTGGCCACTGGCTGACTTCAAACACTTGTTTTGGAAGCTCTGTAGTTGTTGTAGTCTGGTCTTCACGAGTGTGACGGGTGGTATATGTGGGTACTCCAACACAGGCCTTACCAGCGCCTTGTACAGGTGAACGTGTATCTTCTCAGGCATCAGTTTAAAACGTTCTAATTTGGCTGCAGCGTCTTTGGCTTTATTTAGTCTGTCCTTCACGTGGGAAATGATGCCCGTCCGAGAGATGATGAGGCCGAGCAACCTGCCTTGTTTAGAGTACTCAATCTCTTTGTCGTCGATCATCAATGGCGCCAGCTTGAATTTGGCTATGGGTATGACCTCGTATTTCGTTTTGTTTGTTTTTATTTTCCATTTATTTTCATACTCCGAGATATCCTCTATTGCCCGAGCAGTGAGTAGCGCCATCCTTGCCGTGGACCTTCCTAGGCAGGTGACGATCTGTGTCGCATCGTCAGCATAAATGACGTACTCACTGCCGACGATTGGGGGCGGCAGGTCAGCTGTGTAGAGCACGCCGCTCGAGAGAGAATTCTTTTCCAAAATGTTCTTGCATCTTGATTTTGGCTCTGTGGTCCATTTGATTGGGTTGGTTAAAGATAAAATACAGTATTAAAGATTATACAGTCCTACAGAATAAAATCAGTCACTCTCCTCCATCAAATAAAAGTACTGCAATGACTTACGTGTTTTCCACAATATATGGCTGAAAGTCACTTCAATGTGAGTGATGCCTCTCAGAGACATGAGAGAGGGGCAACACAGTATACTGGGATAGCCTTCCAAAATCTGTTCGCTGGTGTTGTTGCCACAAGCAAACACCGACATCATTTAACCTATACTGAAATTATAATTTGGAAAAAAAAAAATTAAATGACATTATACTGTATACAGGAAATCTCATTAATTCCAATTCTGAATATTTCAAACAAATTTCCTAAGTTCAAAATTCCAAGTGAATTTACAATAATTTGTCCATTTGTTGAAAAGGCAAAAAAAATCCTAAATTTAACATGTAGTGTGACTCACAACAATTATCCACTCATAAACAGGCATCCCCCACGTTACAGAACCCCTGGTTGTGGAATATCGCTCTTACGTAATTTGCAAATTATGACCAATAATTTTGCGATACGGCCTGTAAATCCGCCCTTATGGAAATTGGGGTAAATTTTAACAATTTAAAAAAAATCATTATAGAAAATTAAATTTATTGTTCAAAATTATAATTTGTTTGGTGTGGATTTCTTGGTGTTTGGTACCGCCAAGCGCAGTCACTCCATTGTTTACATCCAGCAGTTGGATTTAACTTTTACAAACATACAGTAAGTACAGTACAGTGCATTACCTTTATTCAAAATGACTGGAAAGAGGCCATCAAGTGGAAGTAACCGCAGTAGTGCAAAAAGAAGCCACAAAGGCATTACATTGGATATTAAACTTGACGTTTTAAGAAGGTATATCATAAATTATTTAATGTACTGTATTGTATGCGTTTATAAATGTTTGTTTTCATTCATAAAAGTGCTTGAATTACTCTTTTGCGGCCGAAAAAAATTCCTTGTGAACGCATCTCCAGTTTTATAATGGAAGTCAATGGGAAAATAGGTTTCTTGTTACGGAATTTTGCGATACGGTCAATTTTCCAGGGACGCAACCCTTCCATAACGCGGGGAATGCCTGTACTGTTTATATATTGTATAAAGCATGGGTGCCCAATTCTAGCCCAGTTTTAATGTACTACTAGTGTAGTTTCGAGAGAGAAATCTTAGCCTTATTTTGAACTTCTTAATAACTTTTGTATTAAAATGCTCCATAGTACTGTAGTGTATACAGTATACCTGTACAAATTAATTCCTACTCTTACTTGTCATTTTTTTCAGATATTTGGATCACCTGAAGAATCTCCACCCCAGGTATTTCACCAAAAAAATAACCACCCTCCACCCTAACACTATTTGGGGGATGAGGTTAGATTAGGTTAGTGTTAAGGGGGGAGGCAGATCCTTCACAAGATCCAAATACAGGCAGTCCCCGACTTACGACGGGGTTAGGGACCCAATTCCAGGTCATAAGTCAAATTGGTCGTAAGTCGAAAATGCGAAAATAATACATAGAAAATCTAAAATGGGTGTCTTTTTTTCTTCTCAGTACCACAAAACTCTCACTTTTAAGCTTGCCAGCCAGTTTAAAGGGAATTACAAACGAAAATTTTGTCAGTACACAGCGCAATCACTAACGCCGGGACTCGAAAATACCTAATTTGAAAAAACTTTGTTACGACTGGGGCGGTCGTAAGTCGAGGAGTGGCTGTACAGTATCTGAAAAAAGGACAAATAAGAGTAGGAACTGCTATTTTCATAATACAGGTACAGTACAGAACAGCAATACAGCATTTATTATATACCTTGTACGTACTGTAATTTGGCGGTCCGACTAATTACCCAAATGTACCCAAATGTAGCCAAATATAGCCGGAATGAAGTCAAATAATGGTCCTACATGAATAAATCGGACTGCTAATCACTTCTCGACTAGTATTTGGTGTCAGAAAGTCACAAAAAATTGGAAAACTTACTTTAATCCGAGTTAATAGATCGCGTGCATGTACCGACGGAGCGAGGAATTGCCCAAATGTAGCCAAATGTAGCCGCAATGAAGTCAAATGATGGTCGTACAAGCGTAATTCGGGCTGTGAATCACTTCTCGATTATTATTTGGTGTCATAAAGTCAAAAAAAATTGGTAAACTTAATTTAATCTGAGTTGTGTTGTGTTGTGTTAGGTTAGGTTAAGTTAGATTAGGTTAGATTAGGTTAGGTTAGGTACATGCACTTGATCTATTAACTCAGATTAAATTAAGTTTACCAATTTTTTGTGACTTCGTGGCCCCAAATACTAGTCGAGGTTAGGTTAGGTTAGGTTAGGTACGTGCACTCGATCTATTAACTCAGATTAAATTAAGTTTACCAATTTTTTGTGACTTTGTGACACCAAATACTAGTCGAGCAGTGATTGACAGTCCGATTTATTCATCTAGGACCATTATTTGACTTCATTGCGACAACATTTGGGTACATTTGGGTAATTCCTCGCTCCATCGGTACATGCACGCGATCTATTAACTCAGATTAAAGTAAGTTTTCCAATTTTTTGTGACTTTCTGACACCAAATACTAGTCGAGAAGTGATTAGCAGTCCGATTTATTCATGTAGGACCATTATTTGACTTCATTCCGGCTATATTTGGGTACATTTGGGTACATTTGAGTAATTAGTCGGACCCGTAATTTGGTGATACACATACATGATTGCTTCCCAACAACAGCATCATTGTGTTCCTTTCCATACACTGAACGAGCCGATCAGTGGTGAAGAGGATAAATGAGGAAAAGAAGAGACCAAATATTATAACTTAGCTTTTTCAATTTCAATAGTTTATTCCTTGATAGAGGAAGCGGGAGCCTAGTGCTGTCAATAAGTACCCCTGTACAATAACACCAGAAGCATCTGGCAAGTGTCACAAGTATACAGTTAACCCTCACTTTACGCGGTCCCACATTCCGCGTTTCCACGTTTACGCGGTGCCTTGCCAGAACCTAACATGCTCACATTACGCGGTACGTGAACCCCATTACGCGGAGAGTGTCCGGCACGACACTATTTTTAGATTCGCCCCACCCGCCTGCCTGCCTGTGCTCCTCGCCTCTCCCTCCTCCTCCCTCCGCTTGGGCAAGCTGCGCGGTAAGGTTACGCAGTGTGTGTCTTTGTTGCGTTATCACTGACGTCATATGACGTATCGGACTGTGATTGGCCATGCATCCCTACCCCCCTCTGCTGCTAGCTGTAATTGGCTTATATTATGACGTGTCCACCCGGGGGAGGGAGGGAGGGAGGAAGGAAAGACCATCCTTGACCTAGCCGCGCCAGTTTCATCCCTCCACGCCAGACCGTGTAAACGTGCATCCATTGTTCTCTAAAATGGCTTCCGCCAGACCACCACCCCCAGAGAGAAACCTTTCCTTACCTGGACCCAGCGGCACTAAGCCAAAGAAGACACGACGTTCCTTAAGCTACGAGGTGAAGTATACCATCATCCAAGAGTTGGAGAAAGGAACAAGGCAGGTTGATTTGGCGCGCCAGCATGGTGTGAATGAATCTACGATTCGAACAATAAAGAAGGATGCAGCCAAGATAAAGGAGCACATGAAGATCACAAAGTCTACAGGTGCTTCTATGATCAAGTATTTTCACAACCAGGTGCTTCTCAAGACAGAAAAATTACTTGTGAGGTACTTGGTGCGTCAGGCGCGACGGAACATGGCGGTCGACACGCGCTCTGTTAAGGACTACGCACGTGAACTGTACATCGCAGTGGCACGAAAGATGGGAATTACAGAGCCCAAACCCTTTAATGCTTCCTCTGGGTGGTTACAGAGGTTTAAGATCCGGAACAAGATCACCAATATAAACATTGGTGGTGAAGAAGCGAGTGCTGACCGTGCTGCGGCTAGGGAATTTCCTCCGTTTTTACGTGAGATTATGGAGGAAGGACAGTACAGTGACGACCAGGTGTTTAACATGGACGAATCTGGTCTTTTCTGGAAAAAGCTACCTTCCAAGTCCTTCGTTGTAAAGAATGCCAGCAAGATTCGGGGCCGGAAGATGCAGAAGGAACGCATCACCGTCCTGTTTACCACCAATGCCTCCGGTACCAGTAAGCTCAAGTTATCGGTGATCCACACAGCACGCAAGCCGCACGCCTACAAAACCATGGACATGACCAAGCTAAATGTCCACTGGCTGACCGCACGTAAGGCGTGGATGTTCTCTACACTGTCCCTCTCCTGGTTTGATGACTGTTTTGTTCCCGATGTAAAGAAATTCTGTGAGCGACAGAATGTGCCATTCAAGATTTTGTTGCTGCTGGACAACGCACCAGGACACTCGCCCCTACTGTTAGATCATCACCCCAACGTAAAAGTGGTCTTCCTTCCTCCCAACACTACGTCTATATTACAGCCCATGGACCAAGAGTTAATCTGTAATGTAAAAGCTGCATTCTCTACAAAAAAATTCAAACTCCTGAACGACTACACCAACACCAGGGAAGAGTTGCGCAACCTGAGTGACACCACCACCGATAGCAAGAGCGAAGAAGATGAGGATCAACAGTTGGCACAGCAAAAAATACTGTTCAAACAATTCTGGAGAGTATTTAACATCAAGAAAGCTGTGGACTTCTTGGTGGAGTCATGGGATCAGCTGTCTATTGCTACAATTCGTCACGCATGGAGACATGTGTTGCATGGAACACCAGGTGAGAGGAGGAGTCAATCTGTGACTGGTGAGGTTCAAACTGTTGCAGTAGCAGTGGACCTTGCCAGAGAAACTGCGCAGACTGTTACAGTTCCAGGCTTCTCCGAGACCACCAACGACGACATTCTGGAGGTGATCAGAGATCCTGAAGTGACTGCCGACGAGATGTTGGAAGAAGAACACGTCAGTGAAGAGGAGGAAGAAGGTGCGTCATTCTCCAAAGAACACAGTTTAACTCATAGTGATATTAAGGGTGCCATGGAGTGTGCAGAGAAAATGAAGTCCTTCCTTTCCCGCTATGAAGTCTTCCATACCCGGCTGGTGCAGGCTATGGAGCCGTACATCACGGTGTATCAAGACAACATAAACACCAGCCGTCAAAAAAGCATAACCGAGTTCTTCGCCCGCAACCCACCACAGCCAGCCCAAGCCAGTGATAGTGACAGTGAAGATGACTTTGAGGGATTTGTCAGGGAAGCCCTGACAACTGTAAGTGACAGTGATGGTGATTCACCTAGTAATGGTGATTCACCTGAGGGCCAGTAATCTGCCCTCTGCCTCGGAACCAGCCTCCATCCCCGTATGCCGACCCATCTCTTCTACTAACGTAAGTGTTCCACCTAACTTTTAGTTTTCCTAACCTAACCTTTATTTTTCCTATGTTAACCTTTATTTTTCCTAACCTAACCTCTTCTATATTACTTGTTTTTTCATACCATCATAAAGTTAAGATAAAATTTTTACTACAACATAGTTGTGTGTCGTCAAAAAGTGGAGTTTGGGGGTCGGCCCGGACTCTATTTCAATTAATCCCATATGTTATGTTATTCACTTTACGCGTTCCTCACTTTACGCGGGACCCTGCGGGTTACATTAACCGCGTAAAGTGAGGGTTAACTGTATACAGTATAAATATTATAAAGGGACTTACTAAAGCCCAAGGAAGGAAGGATATTCCTTTAACACATTATCAATATTATTTACATAGTATCTGGCCACCTCTAATGGGTGGCTCTTATCTACCAAACGAAGCAGTTTCCAAAACTATTATTATCATATCAGAACTCACTTATGAAAATATAGTAAGAATATAAAAGGTAATTATTTACGACTTCACAGCCGCTGATTTTTCATAGAAAACAAATTTTAAAATGCAGCAATTTCACTGTGTTTTATAGTAGACACTGTTGTAGTTTTGGTAAATGTGTTAAAAAATGGTTATTTCTAAATTAAACTTAACCTAACCTTAGCTGATAATAAAAACAAGCAGCAGAAGCACTGTCAGAAGACCTCACCAACCTAACCAAAGAAACCTAACTAACTTAATCTAACATCCTAGTGGAGAGGCTCAACCCTCCAGACCCCCGGCATATTAAACAAAAAGAATTTATTATTACACCTCTGTACAAGTATATGGTGTAATTTTTCGTTTTTTGTGGACGTAAGAGCAGCAACCCGATTCATGTGGCTTATAGACATACACTAGTGACTGGCTTCGATTGGAGATGATTGGCTATGTGCCGCCACATCATGCCAAGAAAGACAAAGCAGTGTGTGCCTAGTCGCCAAACTATCTAACCAACAAAGCAATTTCCATAAAAATTATTCTTATATCAGAACTCAACGACCAAAATATAGTAAGAATATAAACATCAAAACAAATAATGACTCGGCTGTGAAGTCCTTCATATTAGCCAAAATTAATTTAGCATTTCCACAAAAAAAGACTATCTCTATGGCATTAAACATCAAATATTAAGTAAAATGAGACCAAAATTGTCAGTATTTTTTTACAAGTTGCCCAGACAACTTGAAAAAATTTACCAGGTTAGGTTAGTTTGGTTAGGTTAGGTTAATTTGGTTAGGTTAAGTTAGTTTGGTTAAGTTGGTTGCTTCAATATAAGGTCCGTTGGAGGGTGTCCTGGGTGCGGAGTCCCCCCCCCCCCCATTAATTTGTTAGATTATGGCAACTTGTAAAAATTTACCCAATTGTTTGCTAAACTAGCAACAGTCAAGATCTAAATATTAGCCAAAGTTTTTCATTATGTTGCTTGGTCACTAAAGTGAGGTGGTCATTTAGAGTAAATGACAGCAGGAGTTGGAGGGCAAATGGCAAAAGATATGTAAGATAACCAAGAGATGGAAGGAAGGAAAGAGTTAAAGAACCAATTGAGACAGGTATTTAATCTTGATGACTGAAGAGAATGGAGGAAGAAGCTGAACCAGATGACTGGCTATATGCTTACTTGAAAGCTGAAGTAAGTAAAGTAAGAATTATGCATATATCTGTCAATACTGCCTAAACTATCCTCACATACCATGTGTAACGTCATCAAGGCCCAGATGGAGGAGGGAGCAGTAGTGAAAATAAACAGTGTAGTAACATATTTTAAATCGATTCTTATGTCAGATTTTAAAATACTACAAATTAGGTGAAAATATTCAGTTTTGTTTCTTTATCATTATTACTTTATATATTAAAATAAAATTGTTTAAGCCATGCCCCTCCGAGTTCTTCCTAACTAAGGAAAGTATATAAAAGAAGTGTGTCTTAAAGCAAAACAATGTGATCTACATAGTGCGCAACCTAGTCACTAGATGGCACCGTCAGCCGGGCCAAGTGGTTGACCCTAGCACCAGTACATGAAGTATAGGGGAGGGGAGGATTACACAGGGAATTCCTCAACTTGATTATGGAATGGATATAACCCATTAGGATCTGCGTCCTTTTGTATATTAATAATTGATGTACAAAAAATAAATCTAAATGAGAATATTGAGTCGTGTGTATATACATATATATATATATATATATATATATATATATATATATATATATATATATATATATATATATATATATATATATATATATGCAGGTAAATCACTGTAAGTGCGCGTGATCTAGGTATATGCTGATAACCACAAGGAAAGAAGAAAACACGAAGTTCCCAAGCGCTTTCGTGTAATTCACATCTTCAGGGGTGAGTACAGACTAGAGAGAGTAATACAAATCAAGGTGTATATATACAGAGGAGGGTGAGACCAGGTCCACAATGGTCAGGTATTAGGTAATGACCCTATACATTTATTTTCAATTATAGTATACCCTTAGAGATAAGAAGATCGTTTTCTTTCTTAGCTGGCCTGTCAATTTGAGGCCTCCAAGCCAAGTAAAGGAGACACGCTTCCTCCAGTAACCCCCTATACTTTCCCTGGTCCTCACCAAAATATTCATGACTCCGCTCTCTCTCTCTCTCTCTCCACAAAAATTTAAAACGTGAGAGTGGCCACTATCACCTCCTGCCTGCCGTGATATATAATATACATTTTTAGAATACTATGAAGGGCCCGTGACTTCAGCTGGTTAATTGAGGTAAGGTTAATGTTTGAAAACAGCACTACCACCAGAAGTTGCTCGATTTCGTTCATTTTTTCACATTCTTTAAAATGACAGCAAGTAATAAAAACGATATAAAATGCACAGAACATGACCTAACCCCTAATGTGACATTCAGATATTGATAACACGGAAAGTATTCTAGCTAGAATGTTGCAGTTTGTTTTAAAATGAAGCTGAATGTTTGTAAATTATGCAAATAATTTTTTGACACTACTGTTAACCTCGCCTAACCTTTGACGAGATGAAATGGAGACCAGAGTTGGGTTTTTTTCTTTGGACTTTCAACTATGTGGTCAGTAGCATTTTTGTTTTCCATCCATCACCTCATGAAAATAGGGTGCTTTAAGAACCGTTTGCAGGCATAAACATAATTGTGGCACTTGTGCTAATTTCTCCACGCAACGCCTCAATTTTATTTGGATAAAGGGACTTTTCAATGGGGCCAAATACTGCTGTATATCAGGGAGGAGGGAACCTCAAGTTAGCTAAATTAGGTACTATGTATTTTCAAACTTATTACTACAGTGGGTGAAACTTATAGGTTCAGTCATATTGATAATGTTTACACTATCACTTTCTCTTCCAGTAGTATAGGATAAAAACAATGGGGCTGGGTATACCCAAGCCACGGTGTCAAGTAGTACTGTACAGTATAACTGAACTACAGTAAGCACCTGCATTTTATATCTAACCATTTTCTTGGTACAGAATTACTTTTATTATTCCAGGAAAGGTAGGATGGAGACACATAAATGTAACACAAGTGGAGATACTCTGTCAGATGGTGAGGTGATGTTGCGAGTGGTAGAGGCTGGTTCTGCCATTGCTACAGCCACTACACGCACCTTGAAGTTACGGGTAGAACTACAAATTAAACCTCCTGCCTCCTCAAAGGTATTCATTCATTTTAAAAACATCTTTTATTAGGTTTTGTTAAAAATTTCCACCATAACTTAATTTGTAAGCAAATACTGTATACATGTACAGTAAAGTATCTGTCAACCGAAAATCTACTTTATGAAATAATCTAGTCTTGTATTTTACTGAGGAATTCAGAATTCTAAATATGAAATTTGAAAATACTGAATAATTTTCATTTATTTAATTTTCCACATATTACATGAGAGTACGGGTAAATGAGATTTTTTTATAGTTAAGTATCTGACTCAGTGACTGTGTGGTGGTGTGAGTGACTACTTGTTTTCACATGAGTGTGAGGAATAAGTTATATGGTGATTGCAGGAGAATGATGACACAATTAAAGCTTATTTGTAGACTAATAACATTGAGAGTACAGTACAGTGTATTAGAGAATATTGAAGTAAGTTGGTGTTCAGGTACATGACAGAATATGCAAAAAATAATAATACTCTAACTAAATTGAGAAAAGTACAATACAGTACAGTACAGTATAGTCTGGGTTTACTCAGTTAATTAAACCCATGGAGATCCGTGTATAAAGCGAAACGCATAAATAAAATAACAGAACCTATGGGACTAATTGAAATAGAGACTCGGCCGACCGCCAGACTACCCTTTTTTTTGGCTATCGCCGACACAATACGTACATTGTAGTAAAATTAACATCTTAATTTTATGATGGTATGCACACAATTAATATACAGTACTGTATAAGAGAAATGTCAATAATATTAGGTTTTTTAACACTTACGTTAGTAGAAGAGATGGCTGGGCACACAGGGATGTGCCCAAGTGTCGACCACCATGTTCCTTCTTGATTGACGAATAATGTAACTTACCAAGCATCTCTCGGTCTTCAGCAGCACCTTATTGTGGCAATATTTCACCAGCGAGGCACCTACAGACTCGGTAATGTTCATGTGTTCATTGATTTTGCCGGCATCCTTCTTGATCGTGCGGATCATCGATTCATTCACTCCATATTGTCTGGCCAGATCCACCTGCCTGGTGCCTTTATCTAACTCAATGGTTCCCAAACTTTTTTTACTCACGACGCTGTTTAGGACAAGTAAAAATATTTTGGCGCACTTTGTACATAAATTCGAAAATTTATTCAAAAGAGATATTTATACATATTAGCATAGCATAAAGTAGAAATACTGTATAGATAATTAAAAATAAAGAAAAATTGTATGTACTTACTTCTTTATTCAATAAATGGAGCAAAGTTATCAATGAGAAACATATGCTTGATGGTTTTTGGTAATGTTTTCAATGTTGGAACGTATTTGAGAAAGACAAACCCTCATTTCTTCTTCGATGCAACGAAGCCTCTCTCTTTTTTTAGATTTGATGTTATTGAGGGTTTTCTTCTTTAATAGCAATCCAAAATGTATCAATAGGTAACTCAGCATGCTTGATTTTAAGTCCACGATCACTGGATATAGATGCCAATTCCTTTTCTTCGCATAATTTTGGACCAATATTACCTGTAGATGGAATTTTATGAAGGAATTTCGAACCCAATCATACTCTTCTGTGTTCAATGACGGAAAATAAAAGTTAATGTTTTCTTCCAGAGTTGTCAAATGTTCAACTACAATAGGAGCCATTTCTTTTATGCAGCTTTTACATATTAAGGGAAACATTTCAAAGTTACCATCTTTAGCTCTATTTTTCCAAATTACAACTTTCTTTTTAAATGAAACCAGCTTATCCGTCGAAGTGAGAATATTTTCATCTCTACCTTGCATACTTGTGTTGACGCTATTAAGTTGTGCAAATATCTCGGTTAAATATTCCAGCTTGGAAATCAAAAATTTGCATAAAGATATTCACAGAAGCATTCATGTTTTTCTTCTTCAAAAAATACAAGTACCTTGTAATTCTTTCTGGAGTTCATGTATGCGACATAGCACCTTATCTCTTGAGAGCCATCTGACTTGTGTGTGTAAAATTAAGTGCTTGTGCTGGGAATCCATATCAACACAAATTTGTTCAATAAGCGAGACTTCAATGGTTTACTGTACTTTTAATATAATTAACCATTTCAACAACTTGGTTTAATACTTGCTTTAATTCAACTTGTGTTGTTTTTGAAACTAGTACCTCCCTATGTAGGAAGCAATGAGTACGTATAACATTAGGATTTTGCTGTTGTACGAGCGATACAAAACCTTTAATACAGCCTACCATAGATGGTGCCCCATCAGTACATATTCCAACACATGGCTTCCATGTTAAATTCCATTTTTCGAGGTAGTCAGGTAAAATATCAAAGATATCTTGACCTCTTGTAGTGAGTGACATTTCTTTGCAACAAAAGAACTGATTTATGATTTGGTTTCCATCAATAAAGCAAATAAATGTAAGTAATTGTGCTTTGTTGCTAATGTCAGTAGATTCATCAACTTGTAAAGCAAATTCTGGGTTTGTTCTGAACATTTTCCTCTATATCAGCAGATAAATCAATAATTCTCCTATGGATTGTATTATTTGAGAGCCTTATTATCACTAGGCTTGGTTGCTTTTGACGAACGTTCACTTTCAGATTCACAATCGTCACTGTTATGTTTCCTCTTAATAAACTTATCCATTTTATGGGTAATTTAGTCAATATGAAATGAATGGCACAAAGAGCACAGCTTGCTAACAAAGTCAAGTATCAAACTGAGACAAGTGACAGCATGTCTCATATTTAATAACTTAACGGTCCGCAAACGTGAAGATATGTTCGGAATCTTTTGTTCAGTTTCATTTATTTTAGCTCAAGAGCCTTTCAAAATCAATTGAAAAGATGAAAATTTCTACTCCTACGAATGAAACAAATTGAAATATAGTTATGGTCTTGATCCGGTGCAATACGTGAGGATGTGTTAAAAAATTTCGTTCAACACCTTATATTTTAGCTCAATGGTTTTTTCAAAATCCATTATTGAAATGAAAACTTCTGCTATGACTGAAACAAACTGAAACATAGTTATGCATCGAATGTGTCTATAAGACGAAAATTACGAGGGTAGATTGATGCAAATTTAGTTCTTATCCTTATGAAATTTAAGTCTCAAAATTTAATAGCACTGTCGTACCATAATTAGCCTAAATGAATTGAATGACACAAACCACCTCTCAGTCTTAGTTTAGTTGTTTGCCACTTTGACAGTTATATATGAACTTTATTACGAATTTCAGTTTGTATTTTTCACATTTTGAAATATAATCTTGCTCTTTCGCGGCGCACCTAATTATATCTCTCGGCGCATGGTTTGGGAACCACTGTTCTATCTCCTGAACGATCTTGTACTTAACCTCATAGCTTAAGGCGCGTCGCACCTTCTTGGGCTTGGGGCGGCTTGGGCCAGGTAGTTCAGGGCTTCTCAGGTGGTGGGGATCCATAGGAAGCCATTGTGTAGAAAGAAAAAACAAAATTGGTTCCTGGGCATGAGTGAGTATATGCTGGGACAGTGAGACTGGCACAACCAAGGTCACCAGCCTGGTGGCAGGGCGAGCAAGGTTAAATAGACCAATCACAGCGCGCGGCAGAGGGGGTGCGTGGGTGGTAAGGATACGTGGCCCAGTCACAGTCCGCGACGTCATCAGCACGAGTCTGGTGTCAGCGGTGACGTCAGCACCTTGCCCGCCGCTTGGCGCGTATATGATGGCATTTACCGCGTAAATAATAATTAGCGAGTCTGGACAGGTGCAGCGTAAATGGCAATTTGCGTATAAAATATCCGCGTAAACCCAGACTATAGTGTACTTTACATTGGTTTTTTACTTGCTTTCCTTGGACACCTTCAAAATAGTACAGTACTGGACTGTATCCTCTATATAATTATCCATTTTAGGGAAGCCTCTTGAACCATAACTTTTGGGTTGACAGCTACTGTGTAACTTTACTGCAATCATAGAAGTTGATAACCATATTTTTTATTTTTTTTTTTTTTTTCAGGAACTACTAGTGAGGCTTACAGACAATCAAGATCCATTTCTTTTGTATACATGTGTAGTTCGAGAAGATGACTACCATAGTCTTAGGCAAGCTCAAGGTTTACTGGTTGATTTTAATGCATTTCCTCACAAGTTTGTTGAGCTGGTTAACTCGTGCATCAAAGAAAATGAAAAGGATTCACCTAGGTAAGTCTTAGATAAATACTGTACATGGGATCTTCCATTTCTGTTTTCAACTTTTATTAGCTCTGTTTACCCATTGTTCTTCCATAACCTAGGTTAGGATCTCACAGCTGTATAATTAGCAAGTCATGACCTCAGATAGAAAGACCCAACCAGTGACTGGGATCATCATCATCATCATCATCATTTTATGGCCATTTTCCATGCTTTCTCGAGTTATACGGGATTACCTGATGGCAGCTCTCTTTGCTGCAGTCTCTCAAAGGATTGTTTTATTTAATTTTTTTTTTTTTTTTTTTTTTTTTTTTTTTTTTTTTTTTTTTTTTTTTTTTTTTTTACTAATGTTATTTCTTACCTCTCCTAATAAGCAAATGCAGTAAATTCAATGATTACCCAGATTGTCCTTAATATTAAAAAGTGAAGAGGCTTGAGAGTTTTGCCTTGTAAGAAATTACATTACAGTTAAGAACCTGGCGAGACAAACTGCAAGTGACTGCAGCATGGACAGCTGCAAGCATAGAAAACTGCCAGAAAAGGTTGAAGAGGAGGTGGAGAAGGAGGATGATAACATGATATACAATAAGTCCTTGCTTAACGTCGTCCCGCTTAACGTTGTTTCGGTACTACATCGCTGAACTTTAGAGTGTTACTTTTTTACATTTAGTAATTACTTGTACACAAATATGGGTCAATAATTTTTTATTGTATTTTTGTATGGGTGGGGGGAGTTCCTCGATAAGTCGGAATTTGGGGTAACTCGGCAAGGCCAGAGCCCCACATGTGCCGAGTTGTCGAGGGTTTACTGTGTTCCCAAATTTTTGGTTTTTAATACATTGCCGCACATGTGACATTTTTGTAATTGATTTGTTTTATCTTTCTTTAGGTTTGTGCTGGTTTTGCGCTTCTCAGATGACAGTGGAGGAAATGCTACACTGGAAGTTGTGGAAGTCAACATATTCAAGCATTTATGTCACTTGGCATTGACCCTTGCACCTGCACCCACCCAGCTTAAGCTTAGTTATCTGGCAGACTGCTGCAAGGCTTTGAAGGTAAAATTATACAATACAGTGTTAGTACACCTTTGTCTTAATCCTCAACAACAGAAGGAACTGAGAGGATCAGATCTATTTCTTAGGTGTAGTTAAATAATGGTCAAAAGGAAGGCAGCAATCCGTATGGGCTCCAATCTCCTATTAATTTTGATTTACATTGTTAAGGTGATATTAAAGCTTTGGGGAATTACGTTTCTTGCATTCTCAAAGTTCACACTCTCCTAGAACCAGGTAAACATATCTGGGGATTGGATCATCATCATCAGTTATGTTTTACAGTCATTTTTCACACCTGTGTGAGTTAGCCACAATTGCTTGATGGCAGCTCTCCATGTTGCATGGTCTCTTGCAGCCTCTCTTGTCAGGTTCTTAACTCTTAATGTCATTTCTTACAGTCTCTCCCCATGTCATTCTTGGCCAGCCCTAGGCTCTCCTCCCCTCCACATTTAGATTCTTACACATCTCTTGACCCGTAACAGCTGAGAGGTGAAGTTCCAATTTGTTATATGATATCAGAGCTTGTAGACCTTCTCCTTTTGATGGGAACCTTTGCTTATAGTTCTCCATTTTTTAGGACAACAGTTGCGATGACAAAATAGGAATGACCTTTGGATTGTTCCAGAGGTAAATCTAGTCAAAGGATACTAACCAGTCACTAATGTTTAGGGTCACCTGGATCTGTAACTTGCTAGGTATAGTATGCATATTACTTAGGCTGCCTAGCTGTAGGCTTGGCAATCCTCCATTTTTAGTATACTGTATATAAGAAAGGGTCACCTTTCATATTTTATAATTTTATTTTTTCTAAAATGTACTGCATTGAATAAACAGAGTGAAATGGCTACCAAAGAGAGAGTAGCAGCTGATAATGAGCAACAGTTTCGACAACAGTTGCATCACACACAAGATATGTTAGCCAAGACATCACAAGAGGTACAGCAGCTACAGACAGAGATCAACCATCATGTGGCTATGTCGTCAGAGAAACAAGCTCAGCTCATGAGTCAAGAAAAGGAAAAACTTTTAAAAGTATGTTGTTCATTTATGCAATAGTACAGTACTAGACAGGATGAACAAACTTTAGTACAATTAAATATTAGCTATTACAGGAACACCTTGTGTTGTAAATTTTGGGTTATGACATTTCACTGTTACTAACAAGCCTCTGATAACCTAACTGGTAGTAAGTGAGTGATTACTTGGATTTACAAATGAAATATTAGGAGCATTTACTGGCCAAGAATTGCCACCATCCTCTGTGTGGCTGTGAGGGGTTCCAGTGATGTTTAGGTTCATAGCATCATTTGCCATTTCGCCTTCATTTTCCAAGTCAGCAAGACCATTCACCCCTTATATATTTGAGTCCCAACCATGGCCAATAAATATAAGAGTGGACTCAGTGATGCACCTGATGCCATGAAACCATATAGGACCCTGATATTACAACAAAAAGTGAACGTTGTGAAAAGTTGACCAGCTTAGGCCCAATGCATGCATGACCTTTACCGCGAGGATAAAGAAGCTCCAGGAGTGGAAGGAGGGTACACCCACCTCTCGTTTTATGCAGGGGTTACGTTCTTGAAAACCACCGCTTAATTCAAAAACACATAAATTAAACATAAATTTCCCATAAGAATACATGTAAATGTTACAGGTTAGGGGAATCATCACATACCACACAGGGTACGAACAGTGCTCTTACTTAAACCAAGCACGCGGCCAACCTCCAACACGCTCTCTCCTCTCTGAAGACGGGCGATCCCATTTAATTTCACTTCCATTGCGATTGTTTTTCGTGGCTTTTTAGCTTTAGGTACCCCAGAGGAGGCAGATGGACGTTTCCCAGACATGCTCAATGGGAAAAACAGCGTTTAGCACTAAAAGGGTACGTGATAAACACACAATGCAAATGAGAGCACAGAGAAAAAGTAGTGCTGGTGTGACCTGAGAAAGCGATACGCGGGAAGCTTGTTGGACGTCGTCACAATTGTTGTACAGAATACTTCATTATCATCATTAGTAGTAGTAGTAATCTTTATTATTACATTATTATAATAATTATTATTATTAATAATACAGTAATATTAAAATCGTTGATGTTGATATGAGTGCAACTTTATAGTAATAACTTACAAGCACCTCACCAGGCATCACACGCGACTCCACTGCCAGGCGACCAGGTTAATATGTGCGGCAAATGTAAACTGTCTTGAGCGCGTAATTTAAAAAATAGGTGCGCGTAAATTACCTTTTGGTATTAGTTGAACAATCACATTATTGGGGCGCCGGTGGGTAGAATGGTACCGCTCTTGCCTCACAATCCAGCACCCTTTGGACCTGATCGGTGCCGGACTATAGAATTTTCCGAACCACAGGTGGTCTTTGTAAAATACATAGTATTAATGTTGTCACACAGTTTTAATGTAAATGATATAAGTAAATATGCATGCAAAAGGATAAAGAAAGAAATATGAAAATGAAATACCTGTACAGGTAATGTATTTCAACTACAGTTAACATAATACAGTACTATACAGTGTAATTGTAATAAACAAAACTAGATAACAATAATTCTCATTCTGCACTTAAAATGACAAAATAGTTACGGTACATAAATTAGTGATGTTCACCTGTGAAGAAGAAAAAAATATCTGTACAGTAAATTAAATAATTAAATAAATATGCTTAGAAGGCATATTAAGTGTAAATAACAAGTGAAATATTACAGAAACACTTGAAATACCTAGGAACGCACCAAACTCCACAAGAACCAGATGTAAACATCGGGTATGCCGAACCGGTGGGTACTACTAGCGGCCGTCCAGCAAACTAAAATTTTGTCGGACGACTGGAGGTACCGGATTAGGGAGGTTCAACCTGTACCTGCAAATTTATGAACTTGAATTGCAGGGTCTCAATTGTTTCTCTTACTACACCTAAACCCCGACTTACGACTATACGGACTTACGTCCAATGGTACTTACGACCTGCTTTGACCGTACGTCCATACGGGACATACGACTGCGACCGCCGTGACCAAAAATTTTTTCAAATGACGCGCGCATTTTCTATACCGAAACGTTTCCGTCCCGGGCGAGAGGGAGGGATGGCTTGGGTCGCCTCGTGGCTGCACTCACTCAGTGGAGCGCTTTGTTTGTGTTTGGCTATCGTATCCTATACTGATCGCGCTGTGAACTTTCGTTATTATTGTATTTAATTGACTTTATAATGACTGGAAAGCGTAAAAGTGAGAGTGCTGGTGGTACTCCAAGGAAAAGGAGACAGGCAATTACTTTTGAGATGAAACTGAAGATAATAACACAGTATGAGAATGGAAAAACAGTAGCAACAATCTCACGCGACCTAGGTTTCTCACACTCGACTATATCCACTATTCTGAAGGACAAGGAACGTATTCGTGAAGTAGTGAAAGGAACAACACCTATAAAGGGAACTATAATAACAAAGAAAAGACAAGGTCCTATCCACGATATGGAAAAATTATTGGTGATATGGATAGAAGACCAGATACAGAAGCGTGTACCCTTAAGTGTTCTAACCATACAGGCTAAAGCAAGAAGCCTGTTCCAAAGCCTGAAGGAGCAGGCAGGAGATGAATGTGATCAAACCTTTACAGGAAGTCAAGGGTGGTTTGATAGATTTAAAAAACGCTACAGTCTACACAGTGTTAAGGTGAGTGGAGAGGCAGCTAGTGCCGATGTTGGTGCTGCCGAAGCTTTTAAGGAGGAGTTAGATGATGTGATTGTGGAAGGGAATTATTTGCCAGAGCAAATATTCAATGTGGATGAGACTGGATTATTGTGGAAACGCATGCCTGACCGGACATACATCCACAAAGAGGCAAAAAAAAATGCCCGGATTCAAGGCATTCAAGGACAGAATTACACTTCTGTTGGGGGGAATGTTGCTGGTTTCAAGCTAAAGCCCTTCATGATCTATCATTCAGAGAACCCCAGGGCTTTTAAACATGTCAGCAAGCACACACTGCCAGTGTTTTATCGCAGTAACAAGAAAGCCTGGATGACCCTAGTACTATTTGAGGATTGGTTCATGACTTGTTTCATTCCACGAGCCAAGGAGTATTGTCTGCAACAAAGGATTCCATTCAAGATTTTACTGATTTTGGATAATGCTCCGGGACACCCACCACACCTGGACGACATGCACCCTGATGTTAAGGTAGTGTACATGCCACCTAACACTACCTCTATCATCCAACCCATGGATCAAGGTGCTATTTCTGCCTTTAAAGCATATTATTTACGCACGACCTTCGCTCAGGCTGTTGCTGCTACTGAAGGTGAGAAAACGCTCAGACAGTTTTGGAAGGAGTACAACATTTTGTCATGTATAAAGAACATTAGTGCAGCATGGGATCAGGTTACAAAACATTGCATGAATGGAATATGGAAGAAAATCCTGAAAAGATATGTGAACAGTTTCAAAGGATTTAATGAAAGTGAAGTTATTTTGGATATTAGTAACAAGATAGTGGACTTAGGTAAACAGCTGGAGTTAGAAATTGATACTGAAGATGTTGGACAGTTGGTTGAAAGTGTAGCAGAAGAGCTCAGTAACGAGGATCTTATTGAACTAGATGCACAGAAAGTTGCAGAGGAAGAAGAGAGACAAAATGTAGAAGAAGAGCCTGCACCCCCCAAAAAGTTTTCAGTGAAACATATGGCAGAGGCATTTGCTACAATTAATAAAGGAATGCAAATGTTTGATGGCATGGATCAAAATTATGAGCGTTATGCCAAAGTTGACAGAATGATCCAAGATTCACTTGCTTGCTACAGAGAAATTTATAATGAAAAGAAAAAGAAAACTGTGCAGTCTAAATTGGACACCTATTTCAAGAAGTCCCCCAGTACTGGCTCCTCACGCCCCACCAGTGCTGCCTCTTCACTCCCTCAAGATGATCCAATACCTTCAACCAGCAAGTTACCACAGTACATAAACCTGTCTGAAGGAAGCGACATTGATGACCCACCCAGCCCTGTCTCCTCTTCTGCTTCTTCCAATTAATATAGTCTCCATGTATCCTGTAAATAGAAAATTATGGGGGCCCTGTGTGCATTCAGCTGACTACATTTAAGGTAAGTGCTCAGTCACACTGTATCCATTCCTCATTATTTATTACTTTTACTGTACTGTATCCATTCCTCATTATTTTTTACGTTTAGTGTACTGTATTTCATTGTAGATTTTTAAAAAAAAATTGAAAAAAAAAAAAATTTTGAATTTTTTTTTTTATCTATATCGGACTTACGACCATATCGGACTTACGACCTGGATTTGGGTCCCTAACCCCGTCGTAAGTCGGGGTCTAGGTGTATGACAACACAATATACATCCTGTATATATGTTTCTCACTATATATCTTATTATTTTATCTCTGGAAATCTTTAATATTGTTAATATTATTATTATTATATTATGTATATTATAAATATTATTTATTATATTATTATTATTATTATTATTATTATTATTATTATTATTACAGTGATCCCTCGGTTAACGAGATTTTGGTTAACGATTTACCTTCCATAAAATTCTTAACTTCGGTTAACGAGCAATCCCTCAATTAACAAGTTTTTTACGAGCCAACTTCAACATGTTTTCGCTTGCATTTGGCGGTCCACCAGCTGTAGTATTAGTCCGCCAATACAGTAATCGGTTTTAGGGCTTAAATTCCTTACTATTTTAGTAAATATCAAGAAGTTTATACTATTCAATAATTTTAAAAGTTTAATATTAACTTTTTTAGTCATTTTAACAATTATTGAACATAATTGAAGGTAAAGAAACTAGTTTCTGGCGTGCCATCCAGCCTGTTAACACACCAGACAGGCGTTAGTCTCTCTCTGTTTTCAGTGGAGGTAACATCTTGCTTGAGACTCTCTTCAACTAAACGCTTTTTTTCTGTTTCAAGCAAATTATTGGTCATTTTGAAATTTATTTTACATATTGACAATATATAATGCAGTGCAGTGTTGATTTAAAGAAAATAATCTTGAATTACACCAAGAGAACTAAAATTTTATGGGTGAAATGGTGCCATGGGGTGACTTCTCTTCCACCCCAATGCCTTCTCTTCTCCCTTCTCTTCCACCCCCATTCTAATTCCCATCATCATCATCATCCAGGAGCCTTCTACATACACACCTCAAAGTAAGTGTACTTTTCTACCTTTTTTGTTGAATTTAGGCAATTTTCGGTGAGCTGGAACCAATTACCCAAAAACCCATTGAAACAATGGTTTCGGTTAACGAGCAACCTGCTGGAACGGATTGTGCTCGTTAACCAAGGGACCACTGTATAGTCTGCATTTACGCGGCTTTTGTTTATGCGTTTGGTCATTTACGTGGCGCCTTGCCAGAATGAAAATGCTTTAATTACGCAGTAAATTTGGTCATTTACGCGGCGAGCGGCTGGAGAGGTCCAGACTGCTGCGCCATTTTCTACCCACGCGGTCCATTCTTGACCATACACGGGAAGCGGCACGGTGAGTGGTGCGCATTAGGCCGCTCTTACATTATCGCTGATGTCATATGACGTATCAGACTGTGATTGGGCCATGCATCCTTACCACCCATGCATTCCCTCCGTAGGTGGGGTAGGGAAGCAGAATATAACTTGCATTGTTGGAATCCTTGTAAGATAGCAAATAATTTAAGAATAAACATCAAATAGTTTGCATAAGAGATCAAAAAATTTTGTCCTTCAGTGTAGTACATGTGAGTACAAAGTGAGTACAGTAATATGTTGCTGAAAATTATGGCTTTTTCACAGGAAAAAGTCTGTACAACTAACCCCAGTGGTCAGGATAATACGTACTGTATTTTGGATGTTTTTTATATTATCGTTTTTATACATTTAGTACATTCGCCGGAAGATTTGGACACTGCTTTTTTAGGCAGGTGGTCCCCCCCCCCCCCTTTTAGTCCGGATCTTCGAGGGTTGACTGTAGGAAAGACAGTGTCATCAGTAATTAGTTAGTGAGTGAATACTCATTCTATTATCTTGAGAAGCCTTGCTATCTTTTTGTTATCCTTTAGGTGGGAGGATATGAATCATTAGAAGATAGCAACCAGCGAGGGAAACTTATATCAGGAGGACTGTTGTAAGTGTATCCTAACCCTATCAATATTTCAGGTTCAGAGTGATGCAGACAGGAGAGCTGAAAGAGAGCTTCGGCATTTGGAGGCCAAACTGAGTCATCGAATTGAACAGCTCCAAGCTAAATTAACATCTCTCACTTCACAAAATAATGAACTATCAGAAAAGAAATACAGAGCTGAAAGCAGTGTTAAGTAAGTGAATGTTGTCATACAGTACAAGGTGACACATAATATTTAGAATGTAATCTTTCACTGCTGTGGGTGCTAAGCAGAAGGCACAAGCTCCTTGGTATTGTTATGACATATTACGTACATGTATATATTACTGTAACCTGTTGCAGTATTTAGGAGTAATAATTAATCATAAAAATATAGATTGTTAATCTTAGATTACTTTATGGAGTTGTGACCTTGCCTTGCCCATTAAGAGGGTACTTGGAAGTCCCAGTTTGTAAATGTAAGAAGGTTTTGTAAAGAGGGTATCCAGTCCTAAAACCAGTTCCAAATTTGCTTGATGGCAAGTGAGATGCTAGAGTTGTGTCATTCCCTTGGTCCTGTCCAGGGGGTACTAGATTAGCATTTTACAGATTGGTGCTTCCAGTTTATGGATCAGTCGCCCAAATTCAGTAGTAGTGTCCTCAGAATTTGCTCCATCATTAAGTGCATAATACTGCAGGCAGTTTTAGTGCCATGTTGCACATGGAAGGGTGTCCCTGAAACTGCTTTTGCTGTGTCATAAGCATTTCTTCTTCATATAAAACATCATCAAAAATAAAATCCAGTCAAAGCAAAACATCTCAAAATGTATATTCTACTTGCAGTGCAGTAGACACTTTTTGGACATCACTACAAAATTGAAACCCGAAGCCTTGACTGGGCCTCAGACTCACATTGCATCACAATCATTGATGCAGATTCTTAGTAAATTCCATGAGATCCACTGCTTGTGTTTTACTTAATGTTTATTATTGACTTATAATCATTGTGTACATAAATTTTTTTAATTTAAAACATGTTTTTTAACATTTTATTACATTTTGGGTAAAGATTTTTTGTAGGAACGTACAGTATATCGGCTTTGATACCGGTATTCCTTCTGTTATTTTACAGAATAAAACTTCAGTATTAAAATTAGATCATTACTGTACTGTACATATATGAATATGTTAAACTTTATTTTTAAAACAAAAATGCTGTTTACTATATAGAAAATTAACTTGTACTGTATTCTAATTTTAAGAGAAATAAATTAAATTAAGGAAGATTTTTATATTCATATTCATATGAGGACATCCTGTGTTATACCTAGAGACCTCCGAGGGAGGCTAAATAGTGCTGAGGGGGATTTAGTTCGATGCCAGCAAGAGCTTGCTCACATCAAAAAACAAAATGCACGCCTAGACCAAGAAAACCATGGAAAGAGCAGTACAGGTTAGTACAGTACGATAATCCCTATTTAGAATCTTGCCATATGATTTAAGTCCATTTATATCCATGCAACAACATTCTTACTGGTATGTCTTTTTCTCAGTATTAGCAAATGGTATTGTAACTGCTTCACTTATTTGATAGTCAAAATAGGATGTACAGCCCTTCAACAGATAAGTCAAGTGATGACGAATAAACCCTGCATTGTGTAGGTATGGAGATGGTCATTAACTGAAGTGTTTGTATGAGATTTTACATGTGGCCATTCATATCCTGGAAAGAATAAGTGACTGGTAATAAATAGTAAATAAAGTAGTGTACATTTGGTACATGCTTAGTGAATTAAACAAATTTCTTGCCAGTTGTGTAATATTGAGTAGCAGAGATGATGACCAACCCTTAGCTTCCTGTTACTTACCAGATGAATTAATTTTGTTTTATTTAAGTGTAATAATGTAAACTTTCCTCTGTGCAGGTTATTTTAAATACAGTATATCTTTTCCTTTAATACACAGTACGTGAACTGGAATCAAGAATATCTCACTTGGAGGGGGAGTTACGAAGTCGAGACACAAGTCTAGCACACACACAGCAAATGGTGGAGACATTACAGGAACAAAAGGTTAGTTATTTATTTTAGGTTATACCTGGGCTGTACTAATCTTTAACCCTTTGGACATGCTGTTCGACTGCAATTGAACAAATCATGAAAATTGTGCTAGTAAATGCAATGTTTGGATTTTCTCATTGTCTGTCAAAAAGTGCACCACAGCTCTGGAGCACACCTCAACCCTCCCTATTCAGCATAGAAGACAATAAGAAATACAGTGGTCCCTCAGTTAACAAACACAATTCCTTCCACAGAGTCGTTCATTAACCAAAAATTTTGTTAACCGAATCCACTGTTTCAGTGGGATACAGGTATTGGGTAGTTGGTTCCAGCTCACAGAAAAGTACATACAAAGTAAAAAAAAAATGCAGTAAGACATTTACTTTGAGGTGTGTATGTAGAAGGTTCCTAGTTGATTATGATGATGGGAATTAGAAGTGGGGATGGAGGAGAAGGGAGAAGAGAAGGAAGTGGGGATGGAGGAGAAATCACCTTTCAGTGGACCCATGCTTAAAATGTTAAGTTCACTAGGTGTAATTCAATATTTTTTTATTTAAATCAACACTGCACTGTGCTATATATGATCAATATGTTAACTAATTTCAGAATGACCAATAATTTTAGTGTAAAAATGCAAGAATATTCAAGACACCAACAAAATCGATGTTCACTCAACTAAACAAAGCCAAACTGACACCTGGTGGGTGAAGCAAGCGGCTGATGGGCGCACAAAAAACTAGTTCCCTGTTCTGCATATATTATCAATGTGTTAACTAAATTTTAAAATGACTAATAATTTTAATATAAAAAATGCAAAAATATTAAAGAGTACAACTTTCTTGATATTTACTCCACTGGAAACGAATGTAAACATAAAACAGATTACTGTACTGAATTGGCAGACTAGCCCATTAGCTGATCAGCTGATGCTCACAACAAAACGTGTTTGTCGTAAGGATTTCATTAATCAAAGTTTTGTTCGTCAACTGAATTGAAGACCCTTATGGGAGGTAATTCGTAAACCGAAATTTCGTTAATCGAACCGTTCGTTAACCGAGGGACCACTGTAAGAATAATAAAAATTAACGGTTTATTGAAAGAGCATACCGTATATCTCGGCTTATAAGACGGAATTTGAACATTAAAAAAATCTGCCCAAAGTTAGGGGGTCGTCTTAATCACCAAGTATAAAATTCTTACCTCTTAAATATTGCGTGTCAAGAGTGGTGATGGAAACATGGTAAACCACTCACAAAGTCCTACCAGGGAAAGTGACCTTGACTGTGACCGCCTGTAGCTATTTTTAGCCGTCCTTGTGTTCGGAGGTGGTCAGTAATGCATATCTGTATATTTACTGATCATAATACTTATCTCCTATAAATAATTAATTTAAAATTAATTTTTTTACAAAGAATATTCAGTAAATGACTGCGTTAATTCTTGAAACTACCGACAGTGGTAAATTTAGGATATAAATGATGAACAGAAGTCACTTCATGGAGTCATGGATTCGGAGTTTGGTCCTTAATGATCACCTACCAGTTATAATGCTAGCCTCCCTTTTTCGCGAAACAAGTATATAAATTAAAGAAAATACTTGCAGTGTGTTTAATGTATTACAGTATATTATAAATAAATAAATAAACAAATAAATCGGCAAATCTATTTTAAGTAAATGGAAATATTTTACTCACACCAACATTAGTTCCAATTAAATAACTGCCGCTTAAGTGAGTCACTAGTGTACACCAGCCGGTATAATTTGATGCCAATACTTGAAGTGAATTGGCATTATTTTAAATAACCAACAATAAATAAATGGAAAAAAGATCAAAGGTGAGAAACATTATATTGTATGTATGTTGTGTTGTCAAAGGAAGAGAAACAATTGAAACTCTGCAATTGTGTGTAAATGAGACAGAAAGATAAATCAGCAACCTAAGACTTGGTCACAATTTTCGTGATGCCATATGGAAGTAGGGTCTACCATTAGACAATACTGTACATTGTGCTTCCAATATCTTCCCAGGCAGTAGAATCTCCCCATTTGGTAGCTGCCTAAAACTTTTAGTAATATTACTTTGATACAACATGATAAATTAGACAAACAATGAAAATAAACAAACAAAAGTTATTTACCAAGACCTCTCTGAGAACAGAGGGATGTAGGGGGAAGGAAGGAGGTTGAGATAAGACGGCTATTTATAGCCTGTCTTTGTGTAGGAAGTCGACCACACTAGAAATAATTAATTTTATTATGGTAGTGTTGTGAGGATGTGTGAGTGGTGTGGGGGGTTGTGGTAGTGTTGTGAGGATGTGTATGTGGTGTGGGGGGTTGTGGTAGTGTTGTGAGGATGCTGTGAGTAGTGTGGGGGCTTTGTGGTACAGTTGTGAGGATGTGTAAGTGGTGTGGGAGGTTGTGGTAGTGTGTGAGGATGTGTGAGTGGTGTGGGGGGTTGTGGTAGTGTTATGAGGATGCTGTATGAGTAGTGTGGGGGCTTTGCAGTTGTGAGGATGTGTGAGTGGTGTGGGGGGGTTTGTGGTAGTGTTGGAGGATGCTGTATGAGTAGTGTGGGGGCTTTGTGGTACAGTTGTGAGGATGTGTGAGTGGTGTGGGGGGGTTGTGGTAGTGTTGTGAGGATGCTGTATGAGTAGTGTGGGGGCTTTGTGGTACAGTTGTGAGGATGTGTGAGTGGTGTGGGGGGGTTGTGGTAGTGTTGTGAGGATGCTGTGAGTAGTGTGGGGGTTGTGGTACAGTTGTGAGGATGTGTGGGTGGTGTGGGGGGTTGTGGTAGTGTTGTGAGGATGCTGTAAGAGTAGTGTGGGGGCTTTGTGGTACAGTTGTGAGGATGTGTAAGTGGTGTGGGAGGTTGTGGTAGTGTGAGGATGTGTGAGTGGTGTAGGGGGGGTTGTGGTAGTGTTATGAGGATGCTGTATGAGTAGTGTGGGGGCTTTGTGGTTCAGTTGTGAGGATGTGTGAGGTAGTTGTGAGGATGTGTGAGTGGTGTGGGGGGGTTGTGCAGTGGTAGTGTTAGGAGGATGCGGTATGAGTAGTGTGGGGACTTTGTGGTTCAGTTGTGAGGATGTGTGAGTGGTGTGGGGGGGTTGTGCAGTGGTAGTGTTAGGAGGATGCGGTATGAGTAGTGTGGGGGCTTTGTGGTTCAGTTGTGAGGATGTGTGAGTGGTGTGGGGGGGTTGTGCAGTGGTAGTGTTAGGAGGATGCGGTATGAGTAGTGTGGGGGCTTGTGTGGTACAGTTGTGAGGATGTGTGAGTGGTGTGGGGGGGTTGTGGTAGTGTTGTGAGGATGTGTGAGTGGTGTGGGGGGGTTGTGGTAGTGTTGTGAGGATGCTGTATGAGTAGTGTGGGGGCTTTGTGGTACAGTTGTGAGGATGTGTGAGTGGTGTGGGGGGGTTGTGGTAGTGTTGTGAGGCTGCTGTATGAGTAGTGTGGGGGCTTTGTGGTACAGTTGTGAGGATGTGTGAGTGGTGTGGGGGGGTTGTGGTAGTGTTGTGAGGATGCTGTATGAGTAGTGTGGGGGCTTTGTGGTACAGTTGTGAGGATGTGTGAGTGGTGTGGGGGGGGTTGTGGGAGTGAGTCATAACCACACACCACCCTCAACACACTACCTCTTTCCTGCATCACCATCCAACACTACCAACGTGCAACACACCTGGTCACCTCTACATTATTAACACCTATACTGGAGTTGATTGGGATCATGTGCTGTGTACATCGATGTATTTCTGCCCGACACTGAATACGTCATCAACCTCTAGGGTCCAGGATAATATTAAGCCCTGGCACGGTGACTCCTCTCTCTTAAAGTGCATTAAGGTGATTGTATTTGGCGTCATCTAATCCCTAACTTCATAATGGAGTTGTCAAGGCTTCACTGTAATTACAATCTCCAGTTTTTTAGTTTCGTTTATTCAACTGGTATTATATCTACAAGAGTTATTTAACCAGACGTGGACATTTCTTTTTGTAAAGTCATATGTAGTATGAAATACAATATTTCAGTATACGAGTGTCATGTTGAGATGGGAGTGGTGACATTAGTGGGGCAGCTAAATGCAATTTTTCAAGAGAATCATGAAAATGGTGGTACAAGCACCAAATTTGGCATGGTAATTCTCTAATGGTTACTAGTCAAGTCTGCCTGATTGGCCATTTAAAAATTCAAGATGGCGACCATTTTTCAAGGTGACCGCCATATTGACCTTCAAAAGTTGATTTTTCTTATAGAAATTGATGTAGTTGGTCAATCTGGGTGATCTTGGTGTCGATATGTATGTTTTCAAGCATGCTTAGATGATTTTTTATAGTTTTAAGTCCATTGTAACATTTTTATCCACATAAAATAACACTTTTAGTAAAAAATATAACAAAAAAGAACTTACTAAAAAAAAGTACGGTAAACAGTGGGAACACAGTCCCACCACCGAGACGAGGTAACACTCCCACCACCGATCGTCTCGTGTGAAGCAAGCATATAAATTAAAGAAAATACTTGCAGTGTGTTTAATATGTTACAGTATATTATAAATAAACAAATAAATCGGTAAATCCATTTCAAGTAAATGGAAAAATTTTACTCGACACCGACATTAGTTCCAGTTACCGGTAAATAGCAGACGCTTCAGTGACGTCACTAGTGTTTACACTACACCAGCGGGTAACATTTGATGACATTACTTGAAGTGAATTGGCCTTATTTTAAAAAACCAAGGATGGTTGGTAGAGGACTACTGAGTCAGTGGGTAAGTGTCACATTTGGGGTACTGGTCTTATACAGCGAATAGAGCTCAAAAACTACTTTTTAAATGGAAATTTGGGGGGGCCGTCTTATGCACCCCGACGCCTTATAGGCCGAGATATACGGTAGCAGCTGGACGGCTGAAAATATTCAGTTGCATAATTGGGGAAAGGGTCTCTTGATTGACAAATAATATACAAGTAACCAGTGGCGGCTCGTGAAAAATAAAATGGAGGGACTGCAAGCCTCACACCGAGTCCCCACCAAACAATAAGCATGGAATTTCAGAACAGTACAAGCAGGAACAAAGAATATACACGCCAGTTTAACATCAGTGTTTATCAGAAATGTGAATGGCTCTGTGGTTGTGACGAGGCAAATACTTTATTCTGCTTTTCATGCTTATTGTTTGGTGGGGACTCGGTGTGAGGCTTGCAGTCCCTCCATTTTATTTTTCACGAGCCGCCACTGCAAGTAACATATGTGATACAAATATGATATATAATAATTAGGTGGGGAGAACGTCATACTACAGGGCATTTCAACATAGTGACAGTGTAAAAAGGTAAGATTGACTGGGAGTGAATACATTGGTTGATACAAGTTACTGATAATTTTTTACAATGGTTGGGACTGGGCTGTTCTTATAGCGATCAGTACGTGCTCATATGGGCTGGATGCAGTTGTGGTGTTGAATAGCAATTCACGGACGAGGGAACTCGGGTGGTAGTAGGAGCCGGTGTCAAGGATGGTGCAGAAGCTGAGCGCTTCTTCATATGTGGTGTAATAAGGGGAGAAAATGATCTTGCATGTCCCCTTTTTCACTTTTTCTAGGTGTTTATGTTGTGTGGCATTTAGGGAGGAAGACCAGGCAGGGGAGGCATAGGTGAGCTTGGGAAGTATCAATGTTGAGTAAACACTGAGGAGCTCAGGCGCAGGAACTCTGAGGGACTTGAGTCGGCGGAGGAGGTGGAGACGAAATTTGGAGGATTTGACAACTTCACTGACGTGCGTTTAACAATTTGGTTTGTTATCTATAGTGACGCCGAGGAGCTTAGTGAAATCTACAACCTGGAGTGTGTTGGGGCCTAAAGTAATGGAAGGGGGTGGGGCAACGTTGGAGGAGAGGTTGATGTGCATAACCATGGTCTTGGTACGGTTGATGGTGACATGGTTGTTGGTGGCCCAGTTTTGGAGACTGTTCAATAAATCCTGGAGGGCAATATAGTAGGGAGGCAAGTTGTTGACACTGATCCTTATGGTGGAGTCGTCATTGAGGAAGTCTGTAAGCCATGGTATAAGACTTCTTCGAAACCCGAGGTCGATAGCTTTGTTGATGATTAAATTGTGGTCGACTAGGTCAAATGCTTTGGTGAAATCAATGGGGGCGACAGCCACAGACGTTTTTCGTTTTTCCAGATGGTATATGTACTGTAGTCGAGAAAGCTGACAAGACAGTGAGTGGTGGAGGAAGTTTTCATATTGCCAAATTGCTGAGGATTTATGGACCCTGCATATCAACATAAGCCCAGTCAAGCACAAAACTTTCATAGATTAAGTTGGGTATTGAGGTGATTGCAATGGGTTGTAGCTCATTTAAGGATTGTGGGCTGGTTGACTTGGGCACTGGTGACATATGAGGTCTTCCAGTCAGCTGGGCATCTTGCTTGGCTGAGGAAAGAAGCATTGATGATGGAGCAGAGGGTTTAGCTAGTTCCAGGGAGAACTCCTTGTAGAGTTTCATTGGTAAGTCAATGGGGGTGGTGGAACACCTCAACTTAAGTTTGTCCAGACGTTTTGCAATTTCGAATCCTTCTACTAAGTCAGTGGGAAAGGTGGCGGGTAGGTAAGCAAGGAGACTGGTTGTGTCAAGCCGGGGGAGCATCTGGCATATAGTTGCGAAATGGTAGCTGTTGCCATACAGTGAGGACCTCACCCATAAACAATGACTCGCCCGTCTGATTACTTCTACTCACACTGTGATGTATTTATCTGTTTTCCTGCCATTTTACTTTGTTTTCTCTATTATTTAGATTCTTTATGGAATTTATATTATCAACATATGATTTCTAGGCAGTAGGCAGATATCAAACAGGGAGGTACTACCACCTGGGAAGATATTGGAAGTATAATGTATTGTCTAATGGTAGACCCTGCTGCCATATGGCATCATAAAAATTGTGACCAAGTCCCAGGTTGCTGATCTGACTTTCTGCCTCATTTACACACAATTGCAGGGTCTCAATTGTTTCTCTTACTTGGACAACACAACATACATATTATCATTTCTTACTCTTGATATTTATATTTTTTTTTATTATAATGTTTATTTATTTACTTTTATTTATATTACATTAGGGTCGGGATATATCGCGACTTTCTATAAAAAAAAATAATAATTTATATCGCGGCTACCAAAATTGTCGACATTTTCCTTTATACAGGTTGAACCTCCCTAATCTGGCACCCTTTGGACCTGACCGGTGCCGGACTATAGAATTTTCCGAACCACAGGTGGTCTTGGTAAAATGCATAGTATTTTTGATGCGTCAATCTGGCGCATCATATTTAAAATTTTACACCTAATGTTTCTCTGGGCACGCTACACTGTCCTAAGGGCAAAGCTGCACTGTACATGTACTCAATATAATGTACTAAATGATTACTAAAAAAATTTTCTAGTGCAAACTAAAGCATGTTTATAGTCAAATTAATCACTATCTCATAAGAATTCCAGCAATGTAAATTATATCCTCCCTGGTCACTTCTGTGACATTTTATAAAAAAAAAAAACTCAAGCTAAAGGACATAAATAAACAAATAAATTTTTCACTAGACCTTCGGCGCCAACTGTCAAACGTGTCACTGTCACTCCCCCATCTTCCTAGCCAGGGTTTGGTGTTTTAGGCTTAAAGTTTTTATCTTGTATAATGTCACAGACAAAAGTTAGGAGAATATAATTTGCATTGCTGGAATCCTTGCAAGACAGCGAATAATTTTAATATAAAAGTCATATATTTTGCACAAGAGATAAAAAATTTTGCTCTTTGTATGTCTAATGCGAATTTGAAGGGCATGCTGTACTTTGTCTAACTGTGGATTAGTTATGATATTTTTACCTATACTTTTAAATCTTAACCCATTTGTTTTTACCTTTACTACAGGGAAGTTTAGAGGAGGTTCTAGAGGAAAGACGACAAAAATTAGTAAAGCGTGAAAATTCTATCCAGTTGCTGTATGCTGAGTTACAGAAAAGTCTTGACGTCATCAAAAAACTCCAGAAGAAGGTTAAAGAGGAACATATAACGGTCAGTAAGAGCCCAAGTACTGTACTGTACAAGCCTCAGTTTATTGTTATAGTATGTATTTTCCTTTTGTTGGTAAGTAAAAACACCATAATATGATGAAAAGTAGAGCTTGTGTGAATTTATTGGAATTGCTGTATTAATACCCAGTAGTAGTAGTAGCAAGTTGTTGCTGTTTTTTTTGTTTTTTTTCTCCAAAAATTAATGAAATGTGACATGAAACTCCTTGGAAAAAAATATTCTAACAGACTAGTTCTCAAGGGGAGCATCCGGCTGAAAATATGATGACACTCAGAAAATTACGAAAATATTCAGAATAATTCCTGAGGAAAGCTGTTGCCTATGGCTGTCTGCTGGTGTATTTTGATTGCTTAGTTCGTAATATTTATAGAGCTATGCATGATTGTTCTCCCCCCCCCCCTCCCTTTCATTTAAAGGGCCCTTCTGTTTACATAGCAAAAGCTGTAGAAAAGTATTTATTATAATATTTTGGTGTAAAATAATACCAATCACTTGGTAAAAATCAGTATCTGGTACCTTTTTCAGCTAGCTAGCAGCAGGACAAGAGTTACTTACCCTTGAAAGAAGGGAGAGTGAGGTTCAACTGTGTGTTCTCTTGCTCCACCTTTATCGGCCGTATCTCAAAACCAGTATACAGCTCCTCCCCGACTAACTACCACCCGCACTTACGACCTGCCTCACTCGTACCAAAATTTGCTCAAATTACGAATTTTCGAGTCCCAAAGTCAGTACACAGACAAAATTTTCATTTGTAATTCACTTTAAAATGGCTGGCAAGCTTAAAAGTGAGTGTTTTGTGGTGCTGAGAAGAAAAAGAGACACCCATTTTAGATTTTCTATGTATTATTTAAGCATTTCCGACTTATGACCATTTCGACTTACGATCTGGATGTCGGTCCCCAAGCCCGTCGTAAGTCGGGAAGGAGCTGTATTTCTAATGTTCAAATCCCTAAGGTTCGGCCAGGTATGGGCTGATTCTAATAAAACAAAAACTAAAAGTAGAATAACATATTGTGCATGGCTGAACATAGATTTTCCTTATATTTGACATCTTTATGGAAAGCTACAGCTTCAGCCAGAGTTGAACCTGATGACTTTGTCATCTGAGTAAAAACTAACACAACAACATTCATTGGCTGTCCTTATGTTTTAGACTTTACCACTATTGGTGAGTAGAATTTTTTTGCATTCATAGGTATTATTGAAAACATATATGAACAGTAATAAGTGTTGTTTCCATATTGTTATGTAGAGAAATGACAATATGCTTTCACATGTATGCACTGACTTATGATGGCCTTGCGCAATCCATCTCGCCTTTTTTCTTTACCATTAGTGGTTAGCTACTTCTGTTGTTCCATTTATTAACATTAAATAACTTTACTTAAAACATACATATTCATTTTTTACATTAATTTAACTACAGCTACAACCAGGGTCTTAATTTCTTCAGTTTCAGGTGGATAACTGACATTATGGGTGTAAACTAACAACAATGGCATCCCATCTCCTCTTGTGGGACCATATTATTATTATTATTGATTTATATTGTATAAGGTGCATTCATAAACATTATATAAAGAATATAGTTTGCATTTTTCATTCATTTTATTATTTGGGGGAAAAAGATATGAAAAGGTCAGACTTTGAAACACATCTTATTATTATTACTTTACTTTAATGATAGTAAATGATTCACGATATGATGATTCACCTTACACTGCAATATTGGAGGACACATTACTGTTGTCATTCAAGGCTTTACTGTAGTAGAAATTTGATAAGCCACCATAAGTTTAATTTTAAAGAAAAGGAAATTAGTAAAGACTCAAAGATATGAGAAAAGTCATCTTGGCTCCAAAATTGAAGGACAGAGACATCTCTTTGATTTTTCTAAATTAAGTTGAAATTGTTGTTCTTGTCATCATTTACGCTGACCACCTACATGTCATTGTTGGATTAATCAAAAGTACCAATCTTTAATACAATTGGGATATCCTTCTCCACATAAAGGGAAATATATTAATTGTTTTAAAATACTAATGAATTGGAAAAGGGGACCTTTAACCTTCTACAATAAACGGGATGAAAATTGCCCTTCCCACAGTTTAATACAGCATCTTGAATAAACTCACCAGTTGAATGAGACAATTACTGGTTCATAGGTGTAGAGTCCCCATTCGACTTGAGTGAGAAGCTGCAGGCAAAACCAACATTGTCCATGGGGATGATGTGCCCTTCTGCCAAATGAAGAACCCTTCTGATATCTGTAAATAATGTTCGATCCTTCATGTGTCACTCATCTTGTTCCCTCATCCATAAGATGAGATATCATGCTTCATTCCTTCAAATTTTATTTTACTTGTCTTGCAGAGTAATGTTCGAGGAGCAGCACTCGTACAGCAGGACAAGGTTGTAGCAGAAAAGGACTCAAGTGTATCACAACTGAGTGAACAGCTCCAATTAATGACAAACAAAGTCTCCCAGCTCACCTTGGAAAAGGAAAAGTTCCAACAAGAGTTGCAGGATGCTACGGAAAGGTTACAGGGACAGGAAAAAACACTACAAACCAATGAAAATGGTAATGTTACTTTACTAAGTAATGTATCTTTCTGTAATACATAGTTCTCTTTTTGCAATACTCACTTAAAAATTTAAAGAAATTTTGTTAATAAGGAAATACAGGAATACCTTAGTTCATGAATGGTTGAGGAAGGAATTGAAGGACCAGCTCGTAAGATGGTTGTTTGAAACCTGAAAGCTAATTTCCCATAGGAACACTATACAGTGAACCCTCAAAGATCCGGACTAAAAGGGGGGGGACCACCTGTCCGGAAAAGCCGATCATCCGGATTTTCCGGTGAATAATAAATGATATAAGAAACACCAAAAATACAGTACTAATGTAGTGATAAACAAATTACCGTATATAAACCATGTATTTACCTATGATAACATAATAAGAAACATTGTGTTATTACTACAGTGAATGAAATAATATTCCCACAAACAAAAATTGTCAACTATCTTATAAGAATTCCAGCAATGTAAATTATATTCTCCCCGGTCATTTCTTTGCAATTTTATGAGCAAAAAACAAAAGCTCAACTAAACGACATAAATAAACAAATTAAATACTTCACCAGACCTTCAGCGCTAACTGTCAAAGTACACTCTCCCCTCTTCCCACGCTCCCTCCCTCCCTCCCCTCACCTTCCCAGCAAAGGTTTGGTGGTCTTCAGTAGGCTTTAAGTTTTTATCTTATATAATATCTCAGACTAAAGTTAGGAGAATATAATTTGCATTGCTGGAATCCTTGCAAGACAGCGAATAATTTGAATATAAACGTCATATTTTTGCACAAGAGATAAAATTAATCACTTGTATCACATTACAGGAGTGTTTCTGACTTTATGCGTTTTTGGCTTTACTTTGTATATACAGTGGTCCCTCGGTTAACGAACACAATTCGTTCCAGAAGGTCGTTCATTAACCGAAAATTTTGTTAGCCGAAACCATTGTTTCAATGGGATTTTGGGTAATTGGTTCCAGCTCACCGAAAATTACATACAAAGTAAAAATAAATGCAGTAAAGTACACTTACTTTGAGGTGTGTATGTAGAAGGCTCCTGGTTGATGATGATGGGAATTAGAAGTGGGGTGGAGGAGAAGGGAGAAGAGAAGGATGTGGGGGTAGAAGAGAAATCACCCCGTGCTTCATGCCGTCATTTCACCCATAAAATTTTAAAGTTCACTAGACGTAATTCAAGATTATTTTCTTTACATCAACACTGCACTGCACTATACTGTATATTGTCAATATGTAAAATAAATTTCAGAATGACCAATAATTGTACTGTAAAAACGTAAAAATAGTTTATGTTCAAGAGAGCCACGAGCAAGATGTTACCTCCACTGACCAGATATACAAACTGACGCCTTTGTGGGTGAATCAAGTGGCTGTTTGGCGCACCAAAAACTAGTTTCCTGTACTTCAATTATGTTAAATAATTGTTAAAATTACTAAAAATTTTAATATAAAACTTGGAAATTTATTGAATAGTACAACCTTCTTGATATTTACTCAAATGGGAACGAATTTAAGCCTTAGAACCGATTACTGTATTGGCGGACTAATATTCCAGCTGGTGAGCAAGCGAAAACATGTTGAGAGGAATTTGTAAGGAATTCATTAACCGAATTGAAGATTCTTATGGAAGGTAATTCGTTAACCAAGGGATCACTGTACTGTATTGGCGGACTAGCCGATCAGCTGATGCTCACAACAAAACGTGCTTGTCGTAAGGATTTCGTGAATCGAAGTTTTGTTCGTTAACCGAATTGAAGATCCTAATGGGAGCTAATTCGTTAACCGAAATTTCATTAATTGAACCGTTCATTAAGCGAGGGACCACTGTATAGCGAACATCGTTGGACCCTATCTCGCGATATATCCCGACCCTACTGGACTGTAATTCTTCGTGAACACTTCTGTCAGCATTTGGGAGGGATTACTGTGTATAGAATTCTTCTGCAACACTACCCTTAAATATTTTAAAGTGTAATCTTCCTCTTTTTTGTCAACTTCATGTTAAGTTGAATAATGGATACAGTGCTTAGATCATAGTACTGTACTGTTGTGCAGTGTGTGTTCTGTAAATTAAAATGATTTAAATTAAATAAATGCCTTTCTTTCATACAGTTATCTCATGGCTCAACAAGCAACTTAATGAAATAGAAATGACAGGAGCACTTGCAAAGCGAGCACCCCTCACAGAGGCATATCTTACTTCTCAAGGGTCATCCACTCTTGGTTCAACTCACCAAGGCTCTCGCTTCACATCAGGCGGACCACCAGGGATTATAGCACATTCCACACCTCTGTCCAACACATTGACATCACATCCCACAGGCAGTAGTGGATGGTCAGGACTAGCACATGCTACTGTGGTTAGTAATAGAGAAAAGTTTATCTGTGTAAGACCAGTTTATGTCTTTCAGATTGGTTCAAAATTATCTTACTCTTCAACAGAAATATCACTTGGAGTATTATGTATGCCAATGATATTTGTTAGAAGAGGTGGAGGAGAAATTTTAATTGTGATACTAGGATACAATCTCAGGGGTGAAACTTGCTGTTAACTGTATCAGGGTTTCTTCATTTAAGATCTTCTTATATATCGTTACAATTTTCTTACATTTCTTCCTTCTTCACAAGATTCATTCTGGTGAGGCCTAAGAGGTTGCATACATAATGCTTTATTCCAGTCATTCGATTAAATTCAGCATAGTTTAACTCCTACTTATAATCCTTTGGTAGATTAAATGTTTCAATTCCTATTTTAAATTCATCTTCAAATCCTCAGCACCCATTTACCATACAGTACTGTACATTCAGTGAGATTACAGTCTGTAATGACGAATTATTCCACAAATTTAGATTCCCATTTACTAATTTGACCATAGCATCTACTTAATTTAATCAAATATTGTTAGATTAAAATATCAGATTTCCAGTGTATCATTTGTGAATGAAGATTTTGACTTTTTTACACTGTACAGTGTGTGTAGGTAATTAACAAGTGTTGATTATTTCTGTATTACCACATAGAATTCCTACATTGTGGTTTAGATTCTACAGCTTAAACTTATAGATTGAATGTCATTTCTACAGAGTTCTATTCGTAACATTGGCAACATCCCATCAATACCAGAGGAAATAAGCCCACGATGTTCACATGCATCCCCTACTGATAAAGAAAAGTAAGTAGTTCTGTACGGTAGTGAAGTTAAGTCAAATCAAATTCAAGGTTTTATCCAAGATTTCCAGACCATTAATTACTTTGGAGGCCATAGAATTTGTCACCATATTTACCCATACTGGTATACCTCTAATTACGATATCCCAACCTACGATAATTTGTGTTAATGATGCTGATATATTAAGACCACTCCCTTATTTTCAATGTAAACAAACTCGTGTTAATGATATTCGTCATCCCACCAACTCGCCAAGTCGACATATGGAACACATCACTCACTTCATTTGTCATCTGAGGCATCATCTTCTTGAATGTTGCCTCATGACCATCTGGTGCACTACAGTCCAGCCATTGTTTCTTCTTGGTTACATGTGTGTAAGAAATAGAGCTCTAGGTTTGTGTCTTCTTTTTTTCTTTTTTTTTTACAGAGAGGACACCACTAAAGTTCATATTGTACTCCATTTTGGTTCTTGTTGTGAACACAAGGTAGGCAGCAGCAACTAGTATCATTATTTTTGTCATTTTTTTCTCTTACAGTTACAGGAAATTACAAAGTTTTGCAGTGTACTGTATTATACGAGTACAGTAATGGTCAGCATGCTCACCTCACAAGCGAGTGGACCCGGGCAGGGTGAAACTATGGGCAAGTTTCCTTGCGCCATTTACCTCTGTCTACCCGGCAGTAATTGGGGATCTGGATGTTAATCAATTTACGGATCTTGTTCCGGGGTAATGGTTGGCCAGTGCAGTTGGCGAGTTGTCCGATCTTCTAGGACTATTCCTTGACACTGGGTCATGCAACTTGTTAACTTAGGGTGTGGTTGTTGTGTTGGTGACAGATTTTACACCTTAAAGAAATTCATGCCCAGGTTGGCCCTAGGACCGGTCATCCTCGTTACACGAGGGGCAACCATTATTATGAAAGTGACTGAAATATTTTCTCTGCTCTAGTGACTGTAAAGTGCTTTTCTCTACTTCAGTGCCGTGAAATGTTTTTGCACTGAGCGAGAAGTGCTATTCTTGCTTTAGTGACTGTGAAGTGCTTTTCTCTGCTTTAGTGAATGTGAAGTGCTTTCCCTCTGTTTTTGTGACTGAAGTGAAGAGTGTAACTTTGAAAATGTCTGGGAAGGCCAAGGCATCCAAGACAACTGTGTCTCTGAGGTGAAGCTTGACATTGTGAAGCGGCATGAGTTTCCTTAGAGGCTGTGTGGGATTTAGAGGGATGTCTCTAATCCACCTACAAGAGCCCATTATCTCAAAGGGGAGATAACTTAGTTAACTCAGTGATCCTGTCTCACTTGGTCAGTTTAGATATTATATCTTAATACTGTACTATGTAGTACCTACCATTAAACTAAAGCCCCCTGTCTTAAGGGCAGAGGTATGGCATTATTACCTTCTTCCTCAATCATAAAATGGGATTCATATTTTAGTCCTTGCTTTTTAACTGTTTTAGCGTGGATGGCCTGGACTCAAAGTACTTTGAGGCAACCAATCCAGCAGCTGTTCCAGTTCGAGGACTGCTTCGAGCAAATTACTCAAATATCTCATCCTCGGAATCAAATTCAAAAGGACTTTCAGTGGATGCCAAGTAAGTTATAATGAAATATTTTTAATAACAACTGCAGAAACATTAATTTTATAATTTTAATTGTGTAAACTGTTAAGTGTATTATGAGTTGTTTTTTCTTTTAATTTGTATACCATTATCTTTACTGTTAGCCATAACGTCTTTCTGTATTATTAATGAATAGTTTTAACAGCTGGCAAAATATATCTTAGATTCCCTCTGGCTTCAACTACTAATGCTTCACTTGAATTGTCTTTTTTCATCCAAACTTTTCTCATTCTGTAAAATCTTCTTTTCCCCCATAAAATTCATGCTACATCTATACTGTCACTGCTTTTCATTTTCTGGTTTAAGTATCATGACATATTTGAGGTTAATATTAAGTAAATAAACATTTATTTTTCTCTAGTATTCTACACATTTATTTACTTAAAACTTAACCAGGGTACAGTAGAACGTCGATTTAAAGCGATTCAATTGAAGATTATTGATTTAAAGCGACACCCACAATTAAGGACAATCTTTTAATTTAAAGCGAATCTTTCCTATTTTGCGCGAGTCAATCTGGTGCATCATATTTAAAATTTTGTGCCTAATGTTTCTCTGGGCATGCTACACTGTCCTAAGGCCAAAGCTGTACTGTACATGTACTCAATATAATGTACTAAATTATTACTAAAATTTTTGTGTAATGCTAACTATAGCATGTTTATATTCAAATTAATCACTATCTTATAAGAATTCCAGAAATGTAAATTATATTCTTTCCAGTCACTTCTGTGGACATTTTATAAGCAAAAAAATAAACTCAAGCTAAAGGACATAAATAAACAAATAAATACTTCACTAGACCTTGTCACCAACTGTCAAACGTGTCACTGTCACTCCCCCCCCCCCATCTTCCCAGCCAGGGTTTGGTGTTTTAGGCTTAAAGTTTTTATCTTATATAATGTCACAGACTAAAGTTAGGAGAATATAATTTGTATTGCTGGAATCCTTGCAAGACACCGAATAATTTGAATATAAACGTCATATATTTTGCACGAGATAAAAAATTTTGCTCGTAATAAAATTCTTAAATTAGAACTAAATTTGTACTGTATGTCTAATGTGAGCTATAGCATGTTTATATTCAAATTAATTACTATCTTATAAGAATTCCAGCAATGTTAATTATATTCTCCCATGTCAGTTCAGTGACATTTTATAAGAGAAAAGCTTAGTCACTCTTAAGGACAGATAAATAAATAAGCACTAGACCTTGGCATCAACTGTCAAACATATCGCCTTCCCCAATCTTCCCAGCCAGTAAACAGGCCATTTTGCATCCCTTAATTTTAGCTGTGTTGATTTATGAGTGTTTGTTTATTCTAGGAGATAGACTGAGGTGCATCTGGGTAGACTCAGTCTTTTTAGTATTTTGTGTCTCTCAAGTACCAAACTAAATTATTCCATTGAAACAACACTTCGATTTAGTGCGAATTCTGTTTGAAGTGACCTCTCTTGCAACGTATCTCGTGTTATATCGACGTTCTACTGTACAGTGGTCCCTCGGTTAACGAACACAATTCGTTCCAGAAGGTCGTTCGTTAACCAAAAACTTTGTTAACCAAAACCATTGTTTCAATGGGATTTTGGGTAATTGGTTCCAGCTCACCGAAAAATACATACAAAGTAAAAAAAAAATGCATAAAGTGCACTTACTTTGAGGTGTGTATGTAGAAGGCTCCTGGTTGATGATGATGGGAATTAGAAGTGGGGTGGAGAAGGAAGTGGGGGTGGAAGAGAAGTCACCCCATGCTTGATGCCATCATTTCACCCATAAAATTTTAAGCTCACTAGGTGTAATTCAAGATTATTTTCTTTAAATCAACACTGCACTGCACTATATATTGTCAATATGTTAAATAAATTTCAGAATGGCCAATAATTGTAATGTAAAAATACTCTGTATTCAAGAGACCCACAAGCAAGATGTTTCCTCCACTGAACAGAGATACAAACTGAGACCTTGGTTGGTGAGTGAAGTGGCTGATGGGCGCACCAAAAACTAGTTCCCTGTACTGCAATTATGTTAAATAAGTGTTAAAATGACTAAAAATTTTAATATTAAACTTGGAAAATTATTGAACAGTATAACCTTCTTGATGTTTCCTCCAATTTTAACGAATGTAAGCCCTAGAACCGATTTCTGTATTGGAGGACTAATCTTCCAGCTGGTGAGCAAACCAAAGCTTATCGAAACATTTTCGTAAGAATTTCGTTAACTGAATTTTTGTTCGTTAACCGAAATGAAGATTCTTATGGAAGGTAATTCGTTAACCGAGATTTCGTTAACCGAGGGACTACTGTAATAGCATTTCCTGATTAGTACCTGTAATGGTTTTCTCCAAAGAAGAAACTTTGAGGTACTTTTAATATTTTATTTGGCTAACAGTAGACAATTTTGTTCAGCTCAGATGTGGCTCTGTACACAAGATGTTAAGGGCATTTCTCAACCAAGCACAGTAACTGTTATCAAGCTGACTGATTATAATCTTAAAACCAACCTCTTAATTGTGTAAGTGATAAGTTTTGAGACATCTTATATTCCATTACTGTATATTACAGCATGTTGCTCATTTGGAAAATCGTTTCATTTATTTTTTTTTCTTCAGAGTTTCAGGAAAAAAAGGATTGGTTGCAGTGCAGAGAGGGAGCAACACTGGAGGAGGAAGAGGAATGGGAAGAATTTCTAGTAGAGGAACTAACAAAGCATCAGAAAGTCAGAGAAAGCCTGCAGTTTCAAGTAACCATCCTTCAAGCTACTTTCCAAGAACTTAGTTTAGATTCTCATACATGTTTTATCACCAAAATTACTTTTGATATTCATGTACATATATCAAACTAAGCAAGTAGGTACCCTTGATAAATTTATATACTGTATATATTTATTTATATGTGAATACATTATTTATCACACGTTAATGTGTTTTTATGTGAACCAGAATGTATGATCTTCATTTTGCCTAGGCTTGTTGAGGACAGCTCACTTTTACTTGAAGAGAACTACAATACGTATTTAACTTTTGTGAGGAACATTGTTTTGCTCCTCGGTTGAAAGGTATATACAATGAATAATATTAAATTGATCCAGTGTCAATTGCTTCCCTGTGAGGTGTATGGAGAACAATGTTTGACTAGTAGTGTCAGATGACCATACACTACAGTACCTCTGAGCATACCAAAATTTGCCGAGTTTTGATTGCATCCAGTAATAAAATCTTTGTCTTTCATTGATACATAATTTGAATTCCATGAAACCATTAATAAACCCTGAAGAGAAATATTTGAAGATTTTCTTTCTCATAAGGATATGCAAGCATATAAAAGTCATTGCTATTTGAATATTGTTGCTACTCTCAAATGAGAAATTGTATTAGTTACTGATAAATCCATCCTGAATTATTCATTTATATTATGTATTGTGTCACTTCTAATTTGCTTACAAAATATATTTATCCCATTTTCTTCAATGTTCCAAATATTTTTGTGCCATGCTATGTGGTGGTAGGAATTAAGAGTAACACAACCTCTCATTTCATTTGCTCCTGATTGTTGTAACATCCCCATAAACTGGTAGACTTAATCCTACACTTTATTAACATCACTGAGCACTGCTACTTCCTGGATGTTCATCACTCCCACTTGCATAATTCCTTAATCCTATTCTTCGATCTTTTTGATCTTCCTGTCTCCCACATGTTTATGGACTTTTTTTTATTCTTCAAAATCAGTCTAAATAAAAGTGAATTAATGACTTTCGGAGTTTGGCCAAACATTATATCCTCCATATTCCTTGCTCGTTGTTAAAAGGGTATTAAAGGCATGCAGAGATACTGAAAGCCTTTAGGCATGGTGCAAATTCCATCTAAGCTGGAGAATTAAGTCAGTAGCCCTAATAAGTATACTGTACTATAATGTATGTGTAATTTTGTGTGTATGTGTGTGTGTGTGTTACATGGTTATAAAAAAAATACTTATTTACTATTGTAAAAAGTCTTTGATTTTGTGAACCTGTGGTGTTAAAGAATACAAAAGTTATTGAAATCAGGTTCCGAACTGTATGAGCCTCTTTTTAGGTGATGTCTTTTCATTGAATATGTCAGAAATGGGGGATAATCTATCATACCTTACACCCCAGACATCTGAAGCTGATTGTATGAGTATGAACACCCATCTCTCCCCAATAACTCCACGAGTCCCAAATGAATGATATCAGATACAAAGGTTGCCCACTGAAGGAGGGAGGTGTAATTAGAGCACATTTCCACCCAGCCAGTATACCATCTACCATGATTCTAGGACTGATCTGCCATCTTGGTTCCTATCACTCCACAGCTGATTGACACTGGGTGGTCACCTCAGGGCCACTAGGCAAGCTCTTAGATGTGTGCTTCCTAGAAAATTTTGAAAAGCTAATGTAGGTACAGGTTGTACCCCTCTAGTCCAGCAACCTCGGGACCTGACCATGGAAATTCACCCTTTTCCTGGATAGATAGTGACTTGTGCATACACTTGGAAGCACTAGCACCACTTTCACTGCTTCATGGTCTCTTTGAAGACATTGAAGGGTTAAATGTTGTACAGTAGGTTCTCAAATTTCGCAAGTTTTTAATTCAACATTTTTTATTTGAACACAAAAAAAGAACACTACACAATTTAAAATTTCGACGGCGGAAACTCGAATTTCGACAGCTTTGAGCGGCCCGCCAACGTTCAGACGTGCACAATTGTGTAAACAGCGTCATTTTTCTATGTACAAAAGATTCATTATTGTTTATTACTGAATGTCTTTTTTATTTAATTAATGTTTGTGTGCAAAATGAACAATACAATTCATTTATAATACGTAGAATAATAAAACACACGAGGAGACGAGACTGCCCAGGAGGGTGAAAAACGTCATTCACTAAGTGACTTGAAAGCAGAGGATATTAGTCACTAACGATCTAGCGACTTCATAATAGAAGACGCGCTGTGGTCGCCATGATGCTGACCAGACTGTATAAGAAATTGTCCTGATTCGCCAGGCATGAAGATGATGGTGGCAGTGCAGGAGGGGTTTTTGAGAATTGCAATTAATGCCAGGTAGCGATGTGTTCTCCTAATATTACGTATTAAGTAATTATTAGATGTTTTAATTGCCTGTATGTTGACCTGGCAAGTTATTGCTAGGCATTAACATATCTAGGTATAAGCTAGGCATCACATTCTGAACCATATCACAAATACTGGTATTTAGAAAAAAACGGCTTTTATTTTTTATTTTATTGCCCATTTATTTATTTATTTTAGGGGTCCGGGATCGGCAGTTAATCCGAAAGTCAGTTAATCGAGGTTTTACTGTACAGTATTTACTGGTAAGTAAATGAACTATCTTAGAGGAACTTCCTATTTCCAATGAAAATACAACATGCTATTTTTCTTAACATTTAGTTTATTTTCATTACCTGGAGTACAACAAATGCACAAGCAGCACATCTTATAACTTTATACAATATGTAGCAGCACTTAAAAAAAAATCTAATGATATACAGGTATAAACACTGAAGGATGATATATATATATATATATATATATATATACAGACAGTCAACCCTCACTTTACGCAGTTAATACAACCCACAGGGTACCGCGGAAAGTGAGAAACGCGTAAAGTGAACAACATAACATATGGGATTAATTGAAATAGAGACCGGGCCGACCCCCAAACTCCACTTTTTGACGACAGACAACTATGTTGTAGTAAAAATTTTATCTTAACTTTATGATGGTATGCACACACAATTAATATAGAAGAGGTTAGGTTAGGAAAAATAAAGGTTGTTAGGAAAAATAAAGGTTAGGTTAGGAAAACTAAAAGTTAGGTTTAACACTTGCGTTAGTAGAAGAGATGGGTCGGCATACGGGGATGGAGGCTGGTTCCGAGGCAGAGGGCAGGCTACTGGCCCTCAGGTTAGTCACCATCAATGTCATCCACACTTGTCAGGGCCTCCCTGACAAATCCCTCAAAGTCATCTTCACTGTCTCCACCTCTGTCACTATCACTGGCTTGGGCTGGCTGTGGTGGGTTGCGGGCGAAGAACTCTGTTATGCTTTGCTGACGGCTGATGTTTTTGTTGTCGTGATAAACCTTGAAGTAGGGCTCCATAGTCTGCAACAGCTGGGTAGTGAAGATTTCATACCTGTTTGCGTCAGGGTCGTCGGAAAGGAGGAGCTTGACTTTCTCGATACACTCGATGGCACCCCTAACATTACTATGAGATAAGCGGTGTTCTTCTTGGGATGACTCACCACCTGCCTCTTCACTGACGTCATCATCATCTACCATCTCGTCGGTAGTCACATCAGGATCCCTTATCACCTCCATGATGTCGTCGTTGGTGGTCTCAGAGAAGCCTGTAGCTGTAACACTCTGTGCAGCTTCTCTGGCAAGGTCCACTGCTACTGCAACAGTCTGAACCTCACCAGTCACAGATTGACTCTGCCTAACGGCCGGAATGCCTTGCAACACATGTCTCCATGCGTGACGAACAATTCCTACAGACAGCTGATCCCATGCCTCCACCAAGAAGTCCATAGCTTTCTTGATTTTGAATATTCTCCAGAATTGTTTGAAAAGTACTTGTTACTCTGCCAACTGTTGATCTTCGTCGTCTTCGCTCTTGCTATTGGTGGTGGTGTCACTCAGGTTACGCAACTCTTCCCTGGTGTTGGTGTAGTCGTTCAGAAGCTTGAATTTTTTAGTTGAGAATGCAGCTTTTACATTACAGATTAACTCTTGGTCCATGGGCTGTAATATAGACGTAGTGTTGTGAGGAAGGAAGACCACTTTTACGTTGGGGTGACGATCTAACAATAGGGGCGAGTGTCCTGGTGCGTTGTCCAGCAGCAACAAAATCCTGAATGGCACATTCTGTTGCTCACAGAATTTCTTTACATCGGGAACAAAACAGTCATCAAACCAGGAGAGGGACAGTGTAGAGAACATCCACGCCTTACGTGCGGTCAGCCAGTGGACATTTAGCTTGGTCATGTCCATGCTCTTGTAGGCGTGCGGCTTGCATGCTGTGTGGATCACAGATAACTTGAGCTTACAGGTACCGGAGGCATTGGTGGTAAACAGGACGGTGATGCACTCCTTCTGCAACTTCCGGCCCCGAATCTTGCTGGCATTCTTCACAACGAAGGTCTTGGAAGGTAGCTTTTTCCAAAAAAGACCAGATTCGTCCATGTTAAACACCTGGTCGAAGGTGTACTGTCCTTCCTCCATAATCTCACGTAAAAACGGAGGAAATTCCCTAGCCGCAACACGGTCAGCACTAGCTTCTTCACCACCAATGTTGATATTGGTGATCTTGTTCCTCATCTTAAACCTCTGTAACCACCCAGAGGAAGCATTAAAAGGTTTGGGCTCTGTAATTCCCATCTTTCGTGACACTGCAGCATACAGTTCACGTGCGTACTCCTTAACAGAGCGCGTGTCCACTGCCATGTTCCGTCGCGCCTGACGCACCAAGTAGCTCACAAGTAATTTTTCCGTCTTGAGAAGCACCTGGTTGTGGAAATACTTGATCATAGAAGCACCTGTAGACTTTGTGATCTTCATGTGCTCCTTTATCTTGGCTGCATCCTTCTTTATCGTCCGGATCGTAGATTCGTTCACACCATGCTGGCGCGCCAAATCAACCTGTCTTGTTCCTTTCTCCAACTCTTGGATGATCTTGTACTTCACCTCGTAGCTTAAGGAACGTCATGTCTTCTTTGGCTTAGGGCGGCTGGGTCCAGGCAAGGAAAGGTTTCTCTCTGGGGGCGGTGGTCCGGCGGAAGCCATTTTACAGAACAATGGATGCACGATTACACGGTGTGGCCTGGAGGGATGAAACTGCCGCGGCTAGGTCAAGCGTCGTCTTTCCTCCCTCCCTCCCTCCCCCGGGTGGACACGTCATATTACTTTAAACCATCATATGACGTCACTGATAACGCAAGAGAGACATGCACTGCGCAACCTTACCGCGTGGCTTGCCCAGGCGGAGGCGGGAGCAGGAGCAGGCGGGAGGGGCGAATCTAAAAATAGCGTCGAGCCGGACACTCTCCGCATAAAGGGGTACACGCACCGCGGAATGTGAGCATCCCGAGTTTCGGCAGGGTACCGCGCAAACGTGGAAACGCGGAATGTGGGACCGCGTAAAGTGAGGGTTGACTGTACTGTACACTTTTTGTGCATAAAATATGAATGTAACCTATGTTTTATAAATAAAAATCCATAAAAATCACTTTTTTATTCAATGAAGTGTTGAGGGATGTGTACTCATTACTTTAATAAATTAGCTCACTCGACAATAGAAAGACTACAGTACATGAAAATTAATAAACCAAACCCCAAATAACCACTGTGGTGCTTAGTGTGAAGCTCTGACCTAAAGTCATTCACCTACAGCCACAAAAGAATCCTTACTAACTTGTGTGTGCTGAATTTTATTTGTAAACCAGAATAACACACACAAGTTTGTTTCCAGTCCCAATATTAAAGTTCTCCTGGGTACTGACTGAAGGAATTGATGAGCAAATTACACAGTGGGTTCAGGTATACTGTAAAATGGGATTTCATGATCAAACAACTCTCTCTCCTCAAATATTACACAAATTCAGTGTGAGAGTAAAATCAAGTTTAAATGAAATTACGGCGATACAACACAGTGTACTGTCTAATTCATATCACACGAGTGCTAAACAATGGCCCTAAAAAGGGGGCAGCATTCCTCCAAAGCTTAACTTTTGAACAAAATAGGCCAAAGATATAAATACAGTATCTCCAAAGACATTTAATGCAGCCACACTTTCAGCTTGCAAAATAACTACATATAGACACAATATTGGTATACACTACAGTACTACAGTATTACAAAAAAAAGCCATTTTTTCTAAAAAAAAGTTTTTGTGATAAACTCCAGAATGCGATTTCTAACTTTATACCTACGTATGTAAATGCCTTGCATTAACTCTCCAGGCCAACATACAGGCAATTAAAACATCAAATAATTTCTTAAATACGTAATATTAGGAGGACCTGGTATTTAATTGCTCTAACTTCATTTTAGAGCACTTATATTTTGAGGGAGCACCTAGTTCTCTATTTTTTGCCAATCAGGGTGCACAGACATCACCGCTTCAATTAATCATGCTTGAGCGATGATGCCTGAGTGAGCATCAAGTCATCTGGAAGGGTTGACAGCGCTGAACTGCTACCATAGCGCACCATTGGTTAACATCGTCCCAACATAACTCTAGATTGCTAGTAAGACCGGAAGGTCAGCGTCCGGAAGGATCACTAAGACTAGCAGCCTCGCTAAAGTTCGCGAGGCTGTGAAGACGAGCCCGGAAGGGAGAAAAACAACGTCGTTCACTAAGTGACTTGAAAGCAGAGGATATTAGTCACTAAAGATCGACTGTCTTCCTAGATAGAAGATGAGCAGCAGTCGCCATGCTTGGCCAGACCGTATAAAAAATTGCCCCATACACAATACCTGAGAAACATACCATAATCAAAATTAAAGTCACTCGATTTCCTCACCGTGCTAAGATGTATAAATACCATAAGTAAAATTCTCGTGGCACTTAATATTTCGGCTATTACAACACAAATTAGTGGAGCCGCCTTTGTGCGCATTTACAGCTGATTCGCCAGGCAAGAAGATGACAGTAGCAATGTGTGTGCGGGAGGGGGGTTTTGAGAATTGCAATTAAATACCAGGTAACGATGTGCCCTCCTAATATTACGTATTTAAGTAATTATTAGATGTTTTAATTGCCTGTACGTTGGCCTGGCGAGTTAATGCTAGGCATTTACATACGTACAGTAGGTATAAAGCTAGATGTCGCATTCTGGATTGAACAAAAACAGATTTGATTGGCATATAACTTAATTCAACTACAGTACAGCACTTTGCAGGTAAATGAGCTAAAAGAGACAAAATAAATGATTTTTCACATTACTGTTCCAATCTACATGTTCATTTTCATGAAACAATTGCACATATGTGGCAATGGAACACAGAAATGGACACAGGTATGTGCACTAAAACCAACATTCCAGATCACAACATAAAATAAACACTTTTTTTAAACTTGACTATTTTCTTATAAGCTGTACATATATACAGTATTTTGAAATGGAATGTGAATTTTTGTCTTGATTTTTTGTTTAGACCAGTTGATGAAATATTACTTCTACATCAACTTAATACATTTTGTATGTTTAATAACCTCACCGGGAGAAATATATGTAACCCCCAATAAACCTTTATTAACAATACTGTAATAGACATCATAATATTTAATGGTGGTTAGTAGAGTAGTACTGTACAGTACACTACATAAATGAAAAATAAATTGAATTCAACTCACTAAGAATTCACCCTTATCTATACAGTAATTTCCCTTAACAATCCATAAGAAAACTGATAAATACAATGCAAGAACCTGTGCTGAGGAAACACTGGATATGTAAGGTTAGGTGAACTCTACCTTAGGTTTAGCCTATTGTATAATTTGGTGTGTAAATATTTCCCAATTCAAAATTCATTCCTATACTGTACTGGAATGCAAAGTAGGGACGTTCACAAAGCAATTACACAATTCCAAGACTGTCTATCCTGTTCTGTGAGTGACAGATATATCTATTCAAGGTGTTTTCTAGAGACCTGGTGATCTTTGTCTTTCTCTTTTCTAATGTATACAGTTGAAAATCTAAATGAAAGTTTAAGGTCCTAAATTTTCCCTAAAGAGGTGAAAATAACATACAGTACTCACAAATACCAGAGAAAATCCTCTCTACAGCACAAAAACTCACTGATCCTTCCATTTGCCTGCATGGAAAACCTTATGAGAGAAACAACTCGTCGCTCCATCCTCAACCTATGTTTCATGTGTATAGTAAGGTGTGTTGACATTAGCTCACAAGACAATGTTCACAAGGCATATACTCACAACATTAATGGAAAGGTTGGGTTAGGTTTGTCTTGTGAGTATACACCTAGTGTACAAATGTCATGAACCATATAGTACAGGTCTGTCTTTTTAATCTTGGATAACTCCCTATGTCCTTATTTCAAGATCACACGGGTTTTCCAGACAAATTTACTTTATCCTCTTCACACTGATCGGCTTGCTGTGTCCATATACCTACTCTAATGCACGACAGTACATGCACCTACTATACCTACTATCTGCATGGTTATATACTTACACCATACTATTTATACTGTACAATATACTGTTTTCATACTTCTACATTGTACAAGACAACAGTAAATGCTGTTCACGCTCCTACTGTCCATGACAGTAATATGCAGGTAGTGTATCGATTATCTGTATCTCCAAACTCCATTTGTTCTAATCGAACAAAAAATTATTTAATTTGGCGCCAATTGTCTGTTGCATTTAAACCACCTTGATGTTGGAGCTCCGTTGCTTTACTTCACTTTGACCGACTAAAACTGCACCTTTGTGTTGCCTATAGCATCCAAAAAATTATCAATGGATGCTCATCTATTTGAAAAAGAAGATGCAGTATACAATACATTAACAATAAACAAGAAAATAAAAATATTGCAGCAAATGAATGCTGGTTAGACTGCAAACAAACTTGTGCCAGAATAATGAATTGGAACAACCATTAGGTAGCTATGATTTGAAGGTCAAATAAAAAGCAGATATTGAAGTCTTACAGTAAAGGTGATTCAAACAAAGGATATGAACAGCAGAAAAAATGTAAGAAAGTTAAAATTTCCAGAGTTACTAGTTATTTTTGTTAAATGTCAAATTCTCATACATCTGGGTGTTTATTGGTGATAGCCACCATCTTGCATATGCATGCTCCTCAGCACCTACACATACTGTACACACACACACACACATTTACCATTACGTTTATTTCTTATCATTGCATACATTATACACAGTACAGTATTGCATTATGGTTTAAAAACTTAAGTGTCCACAAAAAAATAGTTAACCCAGTTTCATAATTCAGAGGCATTTTCACACAAAAACTAGACCCTGATTAGTGCTTACCATATTGAATTAGGAATAATAATTTTCATATGCCATTTCAGTAGTGCCTTGGGCCTCTATGCACAAGATTCCCTTAAGGTCAGTGTGTTTTCATCTGTACCCTGGGATAATACATCAGTTTTTGCTGCATTCTGATAGCAGAAATAAGACACACATAGCCATACTACCCAATTCTTTTCTCTCAGAACAGTCACCACTGGTCCCAAGAACATATCTGGTAAGGAAAAGGCTCACAGCCTTGCCCTGTTATATGCAAAAGTTCCCGAGGTAAATCTAGGAAAAGATACAGTAACAATTAAGAATAGTACATGGCACACAGTCTTCCCACCAATTCTGTTCCATCCAGGAAATTGACATCTGGGAGGTCCAGAAAGACCTCCAGGGGCCACTAACATGTTTATGAGATGAGAATATAATAATTTGACTTTGTGTGCATCAGAAAACATCCTTTAAGATGAGTAATAACAAATGTTTAAATGCAAAAGGGGCTGAAAAAGCCATCTCATCATGCGCTCCCCCCCCCCCCCTCAATAAAAGACCTCACAAAGCATTTGCAAGAACATTCAAGTGCTGGAGTTACTGGTTGCTTCTGCCAAATGCTTTTATGTTAACAATAATTTAACATATTTTCTTTAATTAACAATTCACAATCATATTTTTAGTAAATACAAAATATACTGTGTACAGCATATACACTGCATAATTTATATACGAGAGTTTCATTCTGGATTCATTCAGGAATTACATCCTCTAACCTTTGGCACATTTTCCCATACTTTATTTAATATTTTATGCATTTTTTGGCCTATTTCCAAAATTTGGGAAAATTCCCAAATCTACATTGTTTCAGATTTTAAGCTTAATGGATAATTGATATACATTACTGTACTACCTGTATAATCATACTACTACACTGTACATTAAAATACACCTGTAGTATGATATAGTCACACTCCTTTGTGCATGGCCATAGTATGATACAGTTTTACCATACAGTACAGTATTCCTAATTGTACCTGGCAAGAGTACTGTACTGTACTGTACTGTACTGCACTGTACTGTACTGTACTGTATTGTATTGTACTGTACGATACAACAATACTTCTGGTGCATGGCATTAATATATGGCCATACATGTCAGTTTATAGCAAGAAAGTGTTACTGACATATTCCTCTGTGCATGTTATAATCATGCTCTCGCACTAGTACATGACAACAGTAAAATATGGCCATCTTCCCATACTGTACATAACAATACAATAGTATGATATGACCATATAGTATTTTTATACTGCACGATGAGAGTAAGGTACGGTCATTCTCATCCTCTGCGTGGCATCAAAATAATTAAAATAAATTAAATACAAAAACAAGGTATTGTTGTTATGGACATGTATCATAATAAAATATAAATAAAATATAACAATTCTGAGAACAATTAGGCCTAATATATATATTTTTTTTACATTACTAAAATCGGTTATCTTTTAAATCTAAAGGAATAGTTCATGATAACATTTTTAATTAATCTTATCAAACTTATAGCTCCTTGGTTAGTTCAGCATCGAGAGGTCTTCTTGGCCAGTGAGTTTTCTCCTGAAGCTTTGTACTTGATACATACATTTTTTGTAGTTTATTGTGAGTAGGCTTTACATTAAAAGAAATCCATTCTTTTACAGTATACTCATCATAAACATCAGACAAGGCTGTTTCTGCATCAGTCATTAATTTACTATAATCAAACAACAGCATTGAAAGATCTTGAAGACCTTGTTCAACATGCTGAGGGCTGGCAAAACTATGCTCTATATTGTAATCAGTTATCCAACCAGTTACATGAGGATTGTGCAGCATAGTGTCTATGTCTCTCTTCAAGATAAACAGTTTTTGTGCCACTTCATACACTGCACTACCTGGAAAATCACATTTATTGGCATATTCCAAATACTGTAAATCTAAGTTAATGAAAGAGTTACATTTGAGGGCATCCCCAACTCTGGCCAAAGCACCATGATCTGCTTTCCTCTCAGAGATGAACATCAGATTCACTGCCAATGATGGAATGGCTTGGGGTAAGAGCTCACACAGTACAGCAAAATGATCAAATCTTTGCCATCCTGTTAATACAATACCTCGGAAATGAATGGTGCTTACATACAAGTCAAAAATCTCCATCCATTCTTTATGATTCCCAAGACGATCATTAATATTTGTAATGTAACTTTCAGGATTAGCAGCACCTTTGAAAGCACTAGCAATCCATATGCCATTAAACACCGATGAATATTTCTCCCACATGTCTGATCGCAGGTCAACCATAATGCCAGTACTGTACTTCCATACCATAATTTCCACTAACTGTCCCACCTGAGAATCTTCAATTGCCTTCAGGGGAATTTTACGGAACTCATCATCCCACATTATTGGCTGAACGTCATAATTTTCCTTAATATATCGAGACACTTTTTTCACATGGTGTAGAAACAAGTCATTCTTTCCAAACTGTTGATGAAGGAGGTACTGTTGGCACCGGGTACATTCTCCGAGATTATATACTTCGTCTGAACCAATGTGTAGCCAGTCAATTCCTGGGTGCATTTCCAGGATCTGGTCAATCATCATTTTTATAAGAGGTATTGTTTTATTATTAGTCGGGCAAATAACTTGTGGATAGTTTGGCACCTCACGTAGCTCTGCAAATTCTTTAAGTTTTAGCACGTGTTCCATATGACCAAAAGTTTGAACAAGAGGAATAACCTCAAGGCTGTTTTTCTTGGCAATTTCCATAATATCTGCAATATCCCCTTTAGCATATGCATTATGGGCTGAAAGCAACTCAAGTTTACCCCAGAATGGAAACATGTCTTCATACTCCAAGAGCACACCAGTGGCACCAAATGAACGTAAAAGTGGAAATAACTTCTTAAGGTATTCAATTTTAGGAGGTGCTCCTTTTAAATCTAAATGTACAATTTTATGCTTCAGCTGATTCTCCATCACAACACTTTTCCTTGCAACTCCACTTTGCTCTTCTAAATCACGAACTCTCCCTAATCCATCCAGAAGGCCCGGTTTCTCATGCAAGATAATTCCCACAGGATCATGATCCATTTTACGCTTGAGTTCTTTGTGAACTGTCATCTTTTGGATGTTTGCCATGATTCTGCTCTCATATTCCTTCTGTTTCTTAAGGTGTTCAGGACTCTGCGTCAGAAGGTCAGGTATTTCATCATGCACCGCTTTTGACAGTATTCGCTCAGTTCCATGTCCTGACTCAAGATTCTTTAGACCATCATCCACTGGGCTTGAGATTTTGTATAGCATTAGGATTATTATTAGAGTAAATGCTATGATGGTCATGATTCTTGCATTTCTTCTTGGAAACATCTTGAGGTTAAACATTTTCTCTGCTTCTGACTGCACAAAGTAAACTAATTCTGTCTTTAAGGGAAGTATACTTATGCTTTATTTTAAGTGCCATAAAAGTTTCATGCAAATTGACTCCAAGTAATCAAAAACACTTTTAGAATAATATTTCACAGAATTATCACATCTCTTTATATATCTTACAAGATAATAAAAGCCATATATTTTTATCTAGTTTCTCACAATTACATATATACGTATATACCTGTATACATATACTGTCTGCAGTCCCCTGTATCTAAAATGCTGTCAAGTATTTAACACCTGGGTATTTCAAATTTACTGATTTTTCTCACTTCATAATTACTGAAATGCTTTTTGTAGAGAAGCCTGCACTGTAGCCCTCAGCACACTCTTCCTCAGTTCCTTGGGATGGTTGGACTGTAAAGAAATATTTTATCAGAGCCAAAATCAACCATTCGGTTACCTGTGGTAAATAGTCATATCAGTCAATGCATAATATCCTACAAACATCTCTGTCATTCTCACATCTTGATACTGTACTGTGGTCCCTCAAGTGTTCGAGGCTCAACATGAAAGTCTTAAAAGTAATCTCTCCATTAGCCAAAATCTTCGATCCCCGGAACTCTCCATTACCCAGAAATTTTTTGGGAACATTCTGAAAAAATCTCCGTTCCAGGTATTCGAAAGAATTTCCAAGATATTGTGCCATGTGCATTTCTAGAAAACTCCGAGCAAATCTTTTAGTTCTGGGCATTCAAACAAATTTCCGAAAGATTACATCATGCTCTGATGTATGGGAAACTTAAGCTGTAGGCTCATGTGCTGCAATTGGTTAATACTGCATGGGATGCCTGTGTTTGACTGATGCATCTCCCAGCCTATCTCCTCAAACCCTACTATCATGATGCACTAAGTTCATAGTCTGCTGACATTTTACAAGATTGTTCCCTTGCTCACTGCTGTTTTTGCATACAATCTGTGTTGTGCAGTACTGTACATTACTGTACCAGGTTACTATCAGCCAAGTACAGGTGCTGACCATTATATACAATCAATCAGTTTTACGATGTTAAAAAATTAACAACATTTACCACTATGCGATGGCTAAGATCAGTTTTACGATAGTCAATACCTGAATGCTTTACCTTCATTGTCACTGCGATGAAAAAGTGATGTGCAATAACTTGCAATATTCCAAGATATGATGATGCAATCTCAGAATGGCGTAACATGTGCAACCCATATGGAAGGCGTGGGAACCAATGTGAAAAGAAAGAGATTCAAGCAACTAAGCTAGTAAATCTTATAAGATGGGCATTCAGATACCCTGTACCTAGATGGTGCATCCCTCATGACGCTCTTCAAAAGTGGGTGCTTCCCCGTTTTGAGTACTGCCATCCCATCTTGTCCCTGAGATATACTAGAGACTGTCAGTTCACTGAAAACGTCAAAAGGAGGGCCACCGGACTGGTGCCTTCACTACAGAACCTCAGTTACCCCAGAGAGATTAAACGCTTATAGTTGCCTAGCTTAATCTATAGGTGGGCAGACTTCATAGAATTTATATACACCTCAGAAGACATTATTCAGTCAAGTGTTCATACCTGGAGATGGCAGATGCCCACCCTACAGTTGTGAACTCTTGGAAAACTTTCCAGAGAGATTGTGACGGCACCGAGTGTGAGCTCATTCAAGACCAGACTTAACCAACACTGGCACAGTTACAGATGCATTCTTGAACCAGTACATGTCCAGTATTTGCCAACAAGCTGATCAGTGGCAAAGAGGATAAAATAAGTAAAGTATAAAATGAGCCAATCTAACCTACCAAACCTTACCTAAAATACTACAGTAGTTAACTTGTATTAGTTATGGAATATATAATTTCTATTAAAATATATTTTTAAACAAACAAATTTAGCAGAAATGAAAAACATAATCCTCGTTCACTTTTTGTCACTTCCTTGAGTTAAGCAAGCTTTTATTTTCTATGGAAAAATTTCCTCAAGTTGGTGCTAAGGGCACTCTACTGTTGTCAAGTACAGAACATTATTACCATGATAATAATCATAATAATACTTATACAGTATGTACAGTAATTCTGTAAATGGTAAATTATGAAACTCTTAAAATGATAAACTTAACCCTCTGGTACTTTTGGCCATGGTCAGAAATCTCATCCCTTTGCATTCTTTCGACACAGGTTGCGTCGGTAACAGGAATGTTTTTTAATTTTAGTAAACATTGTGTTGAGTGATCCAGACCAAATCACAGCCTTAGAGACATGTCTGCCAGCCTACAAGGCTAGTGGAAGGAACTTAGGCACTTGGAGTACTGCTCTCATATCTCTTCTTCTGTCCAACTGTTAGATAGGGTGGAATCAAAGGCATTTCGTCTTATTGACTCTCCTCCTTTAGTTGATAATCATTCTTCCCATTCTCTTTGCCGCAATGTTGCTTCACTCTCTCTCTTTTACAGGTACTTTTAATTGGCTATGTTAGGTGGATTTGGCATCCTGTGTACCGCCGGCAAGGGCATGGGCTCGTAACACTTGTCTTGCCAGCGGTGCACAATGTGCGTTCATTTGTTAGTTACTATGCTGCATTATGCATGCACTCGAGTTTGACACGAGCAGTTGTTCTTTGGACGTTGATTGGTGGGTATGATTTTGGATCGACCAATAACAGCTCGGTATAGGCTCCTGCTGCTACCCACTTAAATTTGAATTTAGTTCCAAAATGTCTTCCTTGTGCAATGGCTGTGATATGAATTACTTCCAAACCATTGCCAGATTTCACATAGATTATTACGGTAAGGACGAGAAGCGTGGAAATTTATCCATGGCCACGGTGTTTTACCAACGGAGATTACTTAAGTGAAGTGTAATCAGCCTTGTAGATATAAAGCCGAGAAACACCTTTGGTACTGTGGAAGAACTGTTATTCCTAAATCAAGGAAGAAGTGCTATTGTAGTATTGCATTATAAAGGAACATTTCTCTATGGTGCACATTTGGAGCTGTGGAAACTTATTTTATTTGTTAATCATTGGCTCCAGAGGGTATGGGAACATCATATCATTATCTAGTGCCTGCACCTGTCTCCAAATACAAGTGTCAACTGGCGCAGTTTCTGTTAGGAAGTGACGGAGTACTGGTTTGACCATCGAGAGTCAGTAGGAGGCCCTGGTGTCTTCATGGAAATAGACAAGTCGCAAAAGGAAGTATGAGAGGGTCCGTGTTATGAGTAAAATCTGGCTGTTCGGTGGCACAGAGAGAATCTCAAGAATTTTTCGCTGTCCTTCTCGTAGAATCTTTTGGCTGCTGTGAGCTACAAGTGGATTGCCTACACTAGCCTGAAGGAAAATAGATATGACCACCAGGCCATTAACTATTCCGAGAATTTTGTTGATCCACATAACCTAGCTATCCACACCAGAACATCGAGCACCTGTGGAGGGATCTCAAGGAGTGGGTGAAGCGACCTGGCAACAAGTCCGCCTACTTCAAGCAGTACTTGGCGTACTACTTGTTTATCAGGCAGTTCAGCAAGGACAGGCTTCTACACCAGCTCTTCGTCACTGCTAGCAAGGTCTACTCCCCACAGTCGGAGAAACAGTGGCCAGTGTAACCTGTGAATGATAAAGAGGAGGACCCTGATGACCCCAGGGTTTAGGTTAGGTTAGGTTTTGGATGACTCTGACCTTCAATTGTCACAAATTACTACTTTTTGTGATTTTCCCCCACCCAAAACCCCCGGTTCCCTCTGGGGTCCCTCACTATCGTTGGATAACAGAACCTAAAAAAGTAGTGATTTGCAGTACAATTGAAGGTCATAATCATTCAAAACACACCCAAAACCACTGGATAACCCTAATTTCAATTTCCAAATAGGTGGGTGACTGAAACGATAATTTTACTAGCAAAGGTGTTAAAAAGTGTTTATTTAAATGTTAACCTAACCTAAACTAACCTTACCTTAAACTAAATTAACCAAACCTAAACTTAACCTAACCTTAACCTAACCTTAACCCTACCCTACCCTAACCTTAACCTTAACCTAACCTAGCATAACTTGAAACCTGTCATGGGCGAACTTACTGTTGCTGATAAGGGGGGAAGCGGCTGTGAAGTCCTCCATATTAGCCCTCAAATTATTCACATTTACAAAATGTCTACCAAATGTCCAACAGATTAGTATGGTTTGTTGAGAAGTAGTCTAGAAGGAACATTTGGTATTATTATAGTTTCAGCCACAATTAGTTCTCTGGAATATTGATCGATGATCTAGCTATATCTCCCAATTTAGAACAACTTTTCCTCGTAACACTTCATTCGGAAATGAATATTAACAAAAATAAATATCTGGGGGTAAGAAATTAAGTGAGCATATTCGGAGAGTTCTTTAGTCTACCCGGCCTAGTATGAAATAATGACAAGTAGAGACCTCTAGCAGTTTCCCGAGAGTTACCTCATACTTATCTGCACACATTAGAGCAGGTCACATCCATTGATTTTCAAATATCTTGTCACGTGTCAAGGCCAGCCAATCACTTCATATCCTCCCTCGGTTTCTCGGTAAAATTGCAGTTTCGGCAGTTTAGAAATTAGTTCATGCTGTGTATTATAGTGTGATTTAATCGAATTTGACCTTTATTTCTGGGGGAAAGTACCCGTTTCAGAGTTATCCTCTCCAAATAATGGAAAAACTTTAAACTTCTTTTCTGACATTATTCTTTGCCCCCTGGTTGAAATGGAGTTAGAAATAGTGTACTCCAAATAAGGAGATCTAAAGGTTGGAGATGGTTAAAACAGTAGGCCGTGTGTTGGCCAAAACTGCAATAATACCGGATTTCTCTTACCCACTGCAATTTGAAATGTTATTTCATCATTAGTCATATTAACCATGGCTTGTACCATTCTTTAGGAAGAATGGGAGGTCTGGGGGGCAAAACCCCCAGCTAGATGGGAGGGGGTACCCTGATTAGATTGAAATGTTAGGTTTGGTTAGGTTCGTTTATCCAATTGTTTTAAACAAGAAGCCTTGGTATATCTGATGTTTTTTGGTGTGAGTCATTCGATTTTGACGTTTATTACTGTCGGAATCGACTCCTTTTTTTAAGAGACGATCCCCTCGATAAACTTCATGTCCCAAACGAAGTGTGGCTGAAACTGTAAATTTGCCTTAACTTTTTTCATTTTGAAAATAACAAGCTGAAATACTCATAATACAAACTGTCATCAGTTGTAGTCTAACAAACAGTAGGCTTCAACAATACAATATAATACGGTAATATATTATTGTGAGGCTCCGTGACACATTCTACTTCACGCCGTAAACGGTTTAAGGCTACTGTCATTGGTCGAGTGGACAGGAGAATGAAAATTATACTTGTTTTCTTTAACTAAAACATACCTGCTGCGTGAGGCGGGGCACACATTAAAAACAACCTCAATTTACTTTCTCTCTGCGTGGGGTCGAGACAGCAGACGACAGACCCAATCACTAGTCGAGGGTTCAGGTCGCTCCAAAGCTCACCACCACCAACCCCGAACCCGTTATGGAGGAAAGAGGGAATCATATCAAAATAAAGAAACATTAATTTTTAATTTGTCTTATAATAGTGGCATTATTATTATACACATATAAAAATACATATATTCAGCAGTTGGGAAGTATAATTATGTCCTTTATCCTGCTTACCTACAATTTACCACCCACTCTGCTATATCCTTTTGATTTTTTTTCTAAGTATGCGCATTAAAATAGTACTATTAAGTATAATATCAAAAGGTATAAGAAACACCAGGTTTAATTTCCATGAAATATGACACCGTTAAATCCTACACATGAAGTAGTGAAAGGTACTTTGGTTAGTGGCAGATTTTAGACAGGTTGTGTTACAGCTTCGAAGTCACTGAACCACTCCCACCATGTTCGAAACATCTGAAGCAAACAGCTCGCAAATTAACCATAATGTTTATTAATTCATCGTTTCGGTTCTTCCAGTGTTGTAGATCATAACTTTTACGGTGAATTATTAGTCATGCACCGGTCTTTCTCTCGCTGTTATTAATATGTATTTCGTAATGTTAAGACAATTCTTAGACAATTTTCTTGTATGATAATTCCGCCGGAAATTATGGTTAACCGAGATAAGTGGAAATTAAGTAGACACGCAGTTCTGTGAATATATGGAGGCATACAGGAAGGTAAGCCCATCAAATTTTTGTTTATACAATAAAGAAGAAGTCAAAATGAGTGAGACCAAGGACTCAGGGGACAGGAGGAGGAAGGCAAGTGTCAACATTTAGTTTTTTGAGGGTTTAACAAATTTATTGGCAAAGCTTGTAGTACAGTTTGTCTATTCTGAGTAATTTAGTCAGGTCTTGACACTGAGGGTGGTATCACTTCTCACTGCCACGCAGGACAGAGGTTCATACACAAAGAAATACATAATATTCATTAACAGCTATATATGTATAGAGGTCAGATTCATGTGAGTAATGTCACTGTTTACTGCCATGCAGGACAGAGGTTCGTACACAAAGAAAGAAATACATCATATTTATTAGCAGTATATATAGGTCAGTGGTTCACATACATTGGAGTCATATTCTAATTGAAGACTAATTAGTGTGGGCTAGCAAATTTGGGATAAACAGCAAGAATGTCCTCAAGCACCCCAGATGTAAACAAATCATGGCGACACTTGTGGCTGACTTAACTGTAAGGGGTTTATATTCCAGTTCAATGATTGTTGGAGCTGTGTTTTTCAGTGTTGGGTTTGTTCTCTGTATCTGAAGCAGGTGTTGCTCATGGGTAGTTCGAACCGAGTCATAGTGCCGGGTGCAATCGTATGGCTGGTCAGTGAACGGAAATAGTCACTGGAAAAAAAGTCACATGACTTGTACACATTGACAACACAATATATATATGATGGCATTGCACGTAGGTTAGGTTAGGTTTTTTCAGTGCCCTTTTTTCTATGACTTTTTTCCTGGATTCGGCTGGTCAGTGTTCACGTGGCTCCTTTCCTCTGACCCAGTTGGTCACCTGCTACCTGTGAGCAGGGCCAGATTAAGCTTAATAGGGGACTGAGGCACAGATCAACTTGGGGCCCCCACCCCTCAAGGTATATATATATATACCAAAATTTATCAATGATTTCATCAATATTAAGCTTCTGCAAAATAACGCATTCAATGTTCATAAGAGACAGAAAATTGAGACGTTGCTAGGACATCGTTGAACGAATTTCATGTTTTATACGCTTCAACTTCGAGAATGTTTGGATTTGGGGAGCCTGAGGCCAGTGCCTCAAGTGCCTCATGGTTAATACGGCACTGCCTGTGAGTATCAATATTATATATTAT